AAATGAGAGTCTGCATTTGACAATAAAAGCTGTACTTCAGAAGGCATACTATGTTGGAATAATTTACTGGTATTTGTCTTCAACAGTCACTCTACAGTATTTTATACTTAATAATACTGTAGCCAGAGCCATAGTCAACATGTGGCAGACAATGCACTTGCCTCATCTAAAATTCACAACTTTCCTCAGATACAGTGGCGGCACCAGCGGGGGCAGAGGGGTAAAGCCCCCCCATCGGTCTGAACAAGCCCCCACCCCCACCGGCCAAAGCTCGTCGGGCAGTTGGGCCGAAAAGAAAAAAAAAAAAATTGGCCTAATTTTTCCATTACAGCCATTTCCGGCCATCTACTAGTCTAGAAATTTTACAAATCTCGTTTTTGGAAGGGACTTCCCCTCCCATACCCACGCCCGGCTCGGGCCTTCGACTATAGTTACAACCATAAATACTTAGCCCCCAGTCGAACATCTTAGCCCCCTCCCCCATAAATTACATCCTAGAGCCGCTCAGATATTGTGGTTTTCCACAACACATAACTTTACTTTAAAAACCCCAATATTTAGGTTTGCAGCAATGCTTTTTTCATCTCTGGCTATGGCTCTGGTAACATGTCCCTCTTACAGCAGCAATTTGGCCTGTGTTTAGTTAAATGTCAAGTACATGCTGCAAACCATGCGGTACAGTCACAGCATTCTCAGTACGCAACAACAAAAGGGGAAACCCCAAGCCGCAAAATTTAGTCAACGGCCATTACAGTAATTTTAGCACTAGACCTATCTGTGACACTGTGGCAATTTTCACTTTGAAACTTTAAAGCTATCGCGAAATGGAAAAAAATGTCTGCTTAGTAATCATTTATTTAAATAAGTAAATGTACTAAAAGAAAATAAAACAAAAATACTTACTAAAAATAAAATTTGGTGACCTTCGACCTAATACGTACCTAAAACATATGTTATGAACGAACATACAATGTTACCTAGGCAACCAATTAGCGTTCGTGTACGAAATTATGCATACTCAGCTTTGTGTAGAAAACTTGATCAGACGAGTTTTCCCACAGGAAAGCGATTATTTTGAGCACCATCTGTAGCTCTTCATCTCGCTCAGTTCACATGGTTTTAGATTATAACAGCCCAGTATTGACTCAATCAACGTTGCTGTTTAATGAAAATACTTTGCATATGGTTTGTTTGTTGTTATAGTAGTAAAATAATAAGCAGACAGAAAGTGACAAATCTCTTTTTATTTATGGTGGAAAAGGGGTGTTTGTTTTGAATATTTTCTGGGGTTTTGACACCCAACGTCGATACGAGGCGTACGTAAAACCGAGGGTTCGTATAACTGGGGTACGTAAAAACTAGGTTCTGCTGTATAATATTTTAGTATGTTAATAAATAATAAGTTTGTTTGGTGGTAGTTTCCTACTATTTATTTCTTGTCAAAATTGTTAAGTACACTATCCTTAGCTGTCACATGTGGTTATTATCCATCAATGCCTGATCTGATTTTGGTAGCTGTGTGCAGAAAGAGGTCGTATAGAGTTCATCTATTCACAGTCCAGTACACACAACGTACACGCTGCCTGCTATGTAGTGAAACTTTGTATTTTTTGTCGCTTTCTAGAAAAATTCAGGAGTGCTATTCATTGCTCTCCTCGCATAATTAAGAGGAGCGCGATAGAGCGCCTGCACGATCACTCGCCTTTTAAACCAAGGTCTGGAGTGCGGAATATTATCCTGCCACACGATTGATGGAGAATAAAACTTGATACTGTAATACAACAAATGGCTAGGCTTTACTTAAATCGTTATTTAATAGAATTTTTAATCACTAAACTGTAATAATATGCCTATTACTGTAATTATTTGCCTTTTTATCTGCCTTTTTCTGCGCTGATTTTGGACGAAGATCAAAGTTATCGCTGATCGATGAACTAACCTATCCTAGTCTTTATCATAGGAATCATAGGCCAAAGGGACATATTTTCTTGTAATTATCACATTGTCAACCTTCATGAGGCTAGGAAAGCACACTGGCTAGACCTAGGCATATTTTTTATGTCGATACAAAATTTAAATTTCCAAAAATAACAACGTGCGAATATGGTGATAGGGTCCCAAACCGCGAAAATTACCACTTTTACAGTAGTGTGCTGACAAGCCATTGTTTACTTTCCTTTGTCATGTTGCGGACAGTCTCTAATACATTACAATTATAAAATCTTCAGGCTTCATAAAATAAAACAATAAATTTTGTACACCTCAAGTAAAGCAGGATAAGGGGAAGGTTGTGACCTTTGTCAACTTACCTGCAGTGCTAAGGGATACACTCTGACCAGCCTCTTCTATTCCCTGTATGAACGCCTGCCCCATGCTCTCTGCTACACTCTGCACATTGGCAACAGTATCAGTGGTCGTATGGCCTTCAATAGTGGTAGTGATGGGAGCTGTCAGATTAGCAGAAGCATTTGCCAGTAGTTGCAGAGTTTGAGTGATGTCCATATCAACATGGTCCTGGGTCACAGTATGGGCATTTCCTTGCACTACTGTCAAATATAAAGTATAGTCTAGTTATTACCTCATTACCTAATTTCAAGCATTTTAAAATGGGTACGATGAAAAGCCATATTATACAAATGGGTAATCTAGGCTTCTTAATTAGCGAGATACGTGCTATTGAAGTTTGAGCTAATTAGAGATACCTTTTTCAAAAATTTAAGTGTTAAAATTACAATCAAAATTACAATTAAAAAAGACAATAAAAACAGAAACAAAAACAAAGAGTGCTGCCAACCCAGGATAACCAAAAGTACACAAAAGTGCCACTATCTTGTGGCTCTCCAAGGCACTCAACACACAGAAAGCAACACAAAAGATATAATAGGTATCATTTAGAAAAATATAAGATTAAAAGAAGGTAATACAAAATAATATTGCAAGGGATCTCATAATTATCAAGTGACCACGATGCAAAATCAGGATCAAACAGGCACAAATGGAATTAATAAATCTCAACATTTAAGTTTAATGAAATAGTTGCTCAAGAAAAGCAAGGAGCATCTGACTTCATCAGGGAGGGAATTAAAAAGTTTACTAAAATGAATATATGGGGAAAATTTGTAAGCATCGGTACGAGCGAACTTTTCAATTCAATAAACTTAAGTGATGTAACATGACGGCAAGTAACTTGAATATTAGTAACATCAACATGATAAAAGATAAATGAAGGATCATGAAACGTTCGTGGAGTGATGGAATAGTATATATCCGAAGTCTGTCAGAATAAGGCTGTTCGTTCCACGGCCCGCCAAAGTACGCTCTAGCGTAATGACGTTGGATTTTTTTCAAGGCTTGAAAAATGACATTATAAGGTAGCCAAGCAGGCACTGTGTATTCAATTATGGGACAGCAAAAGAGCAAAATATAGCAAAGAGCAAATTACAGATCCTACCTTGCATGTTAACTGACCATATCTTGGTAAATATAGGACCTATTTACTGTAGCTGATTTTGGTGTCATTTTAAAGCTACTTAGTAGCTCTATAATTTTTTGAATAAATGCTAACTCCTCAAATCAACTACTAAAATAGTTTCTATCAGATTAAAAAGTTCAAAGTTGAATAAAAAAAAATATCTTTTTATTTTCTTCAAAATCATGCTAGAAGTACATTATAATGTAAAAAAGCTTCCCTATAAGTTTGGCGATGAGCGCTTTAACGGTTCCTGACCAATGAGCAATTATATATGGTATGTCCATTCGAAATTGTGCTTTTTGTATATATTAACAGAGTACTTTTATATCTACAGTAGTGTAAATAACAGTAAACCAAACTTTTTTACTGGTATGAGAAAATGAAGTTAGATCACTTAGAAATTCAAGGTTGAAATTTCTTGGCAAATAGTGGTGGTGCTAGTGGGGGAAAATATCTTCAGCCTCTTTAAGATTGCAAATAACTAATACTTTGTAGATGCTGCTTTTGCCCATCGATTAGTCTAGACACATGTACCCCGGGTAACCTCCTGCTTGTTTTAACAGATGACAGTACAGAGTTCATTAGAGTTCACATGCTAATTATGTTCACTGGTTCTTCTTTCTTTCCCTGGTCCTCAGCAGATCCCAGCAAAGAAATAACAAAGTGAAAAACAATTCATTGAAACAAAACAAAAAACATGGTTGTGTCCTTGTGTCAGAGAAAACTTCTTTCACCACGATGAGACAAGTGTGCCTCTTGAAGCTCTAAGTTGCGGCCAGCTGACGGACTGACGAGTGGTCCGAATCAAGGGGTTGCAGGATCCGGATCGTGCTAACCGTTAGCTGCCGTGCGTCCATGCGAGAAAATCCCAATCCGGATTCCAAAAATACGACGATCGAATCACTGGCCAATAAGCAACTGGAAATTGTACACGCGTACGTGTGATTGGTTGATGATAGAAACGCCCACAACTTGCTAACCGATAGCGCTTGTTAACCGTTAGCGGTATCCAGATACCGCTAACGGTTCGGGCGTTCTCACGCAGGTGCTAGGGGTCAGCGCTAATGGTTAGCTCCCGATCCGGATACTAGGGCTCTTGTGAGAACCAGGCTCAAATTGTACTTTTAGACTAGAATACTAGAGACTGGCAATCAAAATATCGTCATTTGGATAGGCAAATTATTATTTTAATTTTTTTATCAGACGACCTCGTTTCCCAATGAATTTTAACCTTGAATTTTTAAGTGATCTTCTATTTTCTCATACCACTACTGTATATAAAAATATTAGGGTTAGGGTTAATTTGGTTTACTGTTGTTTTTACTATACAGAAATACAGTGTTAATAATATATACAAAAATTGCAATTTGGAATGGACATGCCATATATAATTGCTCATTGGTCAGAACTGTTAAGAGCGCCCATCACCAAACTTATAGGGAAACTTCCTTACATCATAATGTACCTCTAGCATGATTTTGAAGGGAAAAAAAAGATATTTTATTTATTCAACTTTGAATTTTTAATCTATAGCAACTATTTCAATGGCTGATGTGAGGAGTTAGCATTTTAGAAAATTATAGAGCTACTCAATAGCTTTAAAATGACACCAAAATTAGCTCAATAGGTCCTTTATTTTCCGAAATATGGCCAGTTAACGTGCAAGGTATTGCTAATTAGCTCAAACTTCATTAGCACGTATCTTGCTAATTAAGAGGCCTAGATAACAAAATTTTCATTTCTGAAACCACATACCAAAATTTGAACAAAATCCGAGAGACTGACACTTTTTTACTCAGCAATTGCATCGTGATAGGGGAAAAAAGTACTATCATTCAACCTACATCATAGGGGTGATGTTTGAAGTTATTACCCGCTTTTTAACCAATCAGATGCCTGGAATCTATGCATGCAGTATATAATAACAGTTCTGGTTTGGAGTGAGCAAAAATTCGTGAGGTAAAATGCATAATACACCAACCCCCAAAATTTGGAAAATAGTACATCCTGGTAAAAAAATCACTGGCGTTGTAAAATGCCGCTTAAAACTTTTGCATTTTTGAATATCAGCAAGATCCCCCAGGAATGAACTTAATGCAGCTGTTGAAAATCTCGATAAGTCACTCACCCAATGAAAGCCAGCTTGCTTAGGCCATTGGCCTTGAAACTTTTCTAGGTCTAGCTTACGTAATACAGAAAGATCGAAAAAAATCGATTGAAAATAATATGATATAAAGAATAAAATAATTAAGGTATAGGACTGTAATACCAGATTGAATAGCAATGAACGATTCGAGCAATCAGCCTGCTCAACTTCTGTTGAGGTAAACATGTGTGGTGTGGTGATTTGGGGATATATTTTTAATAATTCAACACTCACTACACGCATGCATGGAGCAAGTATTGTTTGTATAAATACTGTATTGTGATGTGTAACAAATTGTTTTTTTCTAAAAATGCCTCCAGGATAATGCTCAATGCCTCCGACTGCCTGCTGCACACTTTTCACAGCCCTGTCTGTGAGAAGCAGCTTTGTCTCCTCAGAATATATTGAAGCCAAAATCAACTTGGCACCCAGGAAAAGGGCTCACAACAAATGGTAGTACTGTAGTGGTACATATTTTATCGTATACAGCTTCAATTATTATTAAAAACTGAAAAAGCAAACACCATATGCACAACTACATGTTCAGCATTAACATTCAATAAGAGTAGAAGCAAGTGAAAACTGTTGGCAAGCACTATTTTTGAGCTTATTTGTTTACAAGTATCTAAAAATGCCAGTGACTACAAAAATTCTAAACTTAGCAAAGGGCTAACAACATACCACTAACAGATGTCATACCCTGCGATGGGTCATGAATAGGTTCTGTTTCTTGCATAGCCACTGTTGCTACCTGCTCTGGCACAGTCTCGACTACCTGGTCTGCAACTTGGACAGTGGTTACAGGCTGGTCATCACTAGCCTCTGTGACAGTTTCCTTGACCGGCTCTGTAGGCACCTGTGACTCTGTTACTACTTCTTCAGCTGTGTGCATCTCTTGTTGCATTTGGGCTACAACTGCACCTCCTTCAACAGATACTTCATTTTCAACTGCTTTTTTACCCTGACAGAAATAATGAGATACACATTGCATTGTACAATGTTACTGCCAACCAATGACGAAAATAGGTGCACACTGTTTTGACCTTTAAGATGAAGTCAGACAGTGCATTATGAGACAGCCTGATGTGATATATTGTCGGGGACAGTCTTAGGTTGTCATGAGAATATTAAACATGTTTACGTAATGTACAAAGTAAAACAAGATACATACTATGTTAATCAGCTTTGACATAATTTAGTAATTTACAATAAGTTAAATTTATATAACACAGTTAGCATGGATGTTTCTTCCATTAGTTATGTCAATGCAGGACCCGTAGTGTGACTTAATTTGTGGAAGGTTCGTTTTAGTGGAAAGTGGAACCTTTGGCTATGATCTCTGATACTCTGAAGAACATTGTAAATATATCTACAAATATCAATTCTTCGTTTTAAAATGCGGACCTTCTCCAGTTTTTGGGAAATTTGTCGTAACCCCCCATCACACTGCAATGTTACCTGTTCTGCTGCCTGGGTTGTTGAAGAGAGCTCCTGATTGAAGTTCTGCAGATATGTCTCCAGTACATTCATTGAAGCAGGATCAACACTGGGGGCATCACCTGCTACCACAGTTGCATCACCACCGCCCTCCATGGTGATAAGCTAAGCAAGCACAACACACCTGTAGTTGCAACAAATACAGAACAAAAGATGCAACAAGACAAACGTAAACAAACCAATAAACTTCCTTTACAGATGTAACAGGTAATTCAAATTTTAATATTGAAATTTCATTTTGTACAGTATACGATACCACTTCGAGGGTGACAAAAACTCAATTCGCTAGTAGCCAGTTTTTAAAAATAATTCTCAACCAAAACAGCCATTAGACATTAAAATGAGATGCACTGATGATATTTCTGAAAGCAAACAGGTCATTACGATAACATTTTGTGCTAAAACTTGACTATGCACTATTGAAGGTCGTCAAAAACCTCTAAATATGGCAATTTTTCAACTTCTTGTAATGTGTTATTTGTTATTTTAACGCAGTGGATCTATCTAATCAATCAATGATTTCGTGTTCTCATCTAATACGTAAAATACATTTAATTATGTGTGTAATTTTTTAAAGAATGCACTACATGGGTCGCTTTGTATGTACAGAGTGATCTCAGTAAGTGGTGGTTTAACCCCCTTAGGCTACAGTAGGCCCAGATCGTAAGTCCGCTAGGCCTTCGTAATATTTTCAACTTTTGTGTTTATATATTTAGAAAACTTTTAAAGTACCTCGTTGGTATGCTAAATAATGTTACTTTAGAGCGAGCACAGATGCCTCAAAAAAATTATATTTTAAAAAGACGGTGGTTGCGACGATGTTTTTATGATTTACAAACATTAATGATTTTCGCCCTCTGAGACTGAGATGACCTCTGTATAATTAATTGTACATTTTACTTACAATATTAGCACAGTATATTATAATGTAATAAACATCAAATTATTAAACCAATGACACCTTGCTGGGTTTTTTTTAATTGTTTTTTTGTAAAATATACTAGGCCTAGACTGTAAAAACTTTGGAAAGGTCAGTATCATTTTTTTCTTACTGGCCCTGCTGGCCTCTAAGTTTTGGAATTAAGTTTTCACCCCTACTTTTTTATTTTTATTATAAACAATCTATTTAGGGTAGGCCTAGTACTAGCCTAGGCAGCAGCTATTGGCTAAGCCTAGTACTAGGCCTACACTAGGGCCCTTAAAACTCTTGTCTTGGGGACAACACAAAACTAGGGCTTTTTTTAAAACACATCATAAACCTAGGCTAGGCCAACATACATAGGCCAAGACCTACATGCATGGAAATATTACAGAGTTAAGCTGTCATCAAGGTGTTAATATGTACATTAATTCAAAATGCGGGACCAAACAGCAACAACTCAACAGGTTTGTTTTCATGCGAGATTCCCTAATATTTTCAATGTGGTAAAATTGTAAGTGGAAAGCTAGCTAAGCTAGCCAGTAAACCAGGAGAGGGAGGCAAACAAAGAACGGGCGGGAAGCACGCCTCCAATAACAGATTTTTCTAGCCTATCCTGAGACAAAATCGATTGGGGGCGCGAAATAAAACACCGCCACCAAGTCTCAAATTCTATAAATACACGTTTAAAACTACAGTTTACTGTTAAACATAGTGTTAAGTGAAAATATAGCTACTGATTGAGCAATTTTAATGCATACCTTAATAGAAAACTATCAAAATTGTACACATGCTACTTTACCAGCATACCAATTATGATGCGTCCTTTTCCCTATGCTAGGGGGCGGGCTATGAAAATTTCGCTTCTTTTTCTATAAAAGAACAAATGAAATATACTTACGAGCTCAACTAACTTGAAGAGTAAGAGTTACTTGTTTAAAAAAATGGTGGATTGAGTTATAAAACGGTCTGTATAGCGACACAAATTGCTGATAATTGTACGGTTTACACACCCAGAAAAAGCTTTTTAGCGCCTACAATATGGCGTTCCCTACTACGCATGCGTCATCCTTTATGCTAAATAGTTGTTCTTTCATCCTGTCGTTTTATAGTAATTATAGCGCATCTAGCTATTACTTTCCATAAAACGATTGTTTATCAAAGTCTTTTCATAAAGGTCGTCTCTTCTTCGTTAGAATCGCAATGTCGAAGCTTTGCATATAATATATATATTATTAATTCAGTCTGAAGAAACCATGGACGTTTAACAATTTCATGACCATTTTAGAAACCGTATTTGTTTCATCGGTAGAAAAAAATCTCTTTGAATTAAACAAATCTTGTTATTTCATAAATATATTATCATCTGTGATAACCAACACAATAAAAATAATAAATTCTGAGTTATAACTTTCATTTTGTTCCTGATGACGAATATCGAATAACAATGGCGTGTCTTACTTAATGGAGTTTTTAATTACTTTATATAATACAATTTAATTGAATTAATGTTAACTTTAAAATTAAAATATGAAAAATAATCTCTTTTGCATAATATATAAAATATACCGCCTGTCATAAAATATGGAAACCCTCAAAGTTCAAGGCTCTAAAACATTGTACTGAGGTCTTATCTAATATAAATTGATTAAATAAGTGAACTTCCAATAGTACGTAAATTGATGAGGAAAAGGTAAATTGAAAATTGAATTTTTTTCATTCATCTGACTAATAAATCAAAATAATGCTCTTGAATAGTTTTAGACATTATATAGCCTATTTAAAAGCTGTAAAATAATTATAATAATTTGTTTTTTTAATTGTAATAAATAAGTCATGCCTATATCTTCTCATTCAAAAACGAAATATCCCTAATTTCAATTCATGAAAACAAAAGTCAAAATTAACACATTATATAAAAAAAAAATGGCAATCCTTAAAAATTTGAAACAAAACTATTTATGTAATTTTATTTAAATCCTGAGTAACAGTACATTCATTGTCACTAACAGTGTCATTAACAGTAAACATTGAATTAAACATAGAGCATTTGGGCCAAAATGAAGAAGTTATTCTTCTTCATTTAATCTGCAATCTAAAATGTTTTTATGTTGTTTAATTATTGCTTTCAGACATTTTTTAAAGACCTAATTCTGTGTTCTTGGACTTACTTACACAAGAATTGAGAGCAGTCGGCCTCCTGTCAGGTGCGATTAATATTCATAAAACTTTTGAAGACCATGTCTATAACTGGACCTATTCTAAATAAGCCTAGGCCCTATATTTCTTAATCCACAGACAAGGAGGACTCACCAATTACGAATAGTGCCTCATAAACTAACTAATAGAGTAGAGTAAGTACGGAGAGGAAAAAATCTCAGAATGTGTACATCTGACCATCAGAAAGGCAAGCATATTATTAATCGGTGAGTTACACATTACATAAATATTAGATTGACTTAATCTTGTATCCTCAACGACCGTACCTAAAGTTTGTGAGCTCTTTTGTGCGTACAGATGAGTTAGAACAAAGTTATGGTGGAATGTATGGATTTGGTAGGGACTATCGATTTCAGAATCGTATTAACATATCGTCAGTAATTTGGGGGTCAAGGATCCGAATATTGGAATAACAGTTACGTATTTAGTATTTCATTAACATTAAAGCTTGTCTTTCCTGGAGTCTAAATACAGATTCTGTGAGCGTCTGACCTAATGTATGTCATTCTAGTGTAAGCAAGGAGGTATAATGGTTGATGTATATTTATATTTCCAATTATTTAACAGTAGACTATTACTTAGTTATATGTACACTTCCTTTTTTTCAAATCAGGTATAGGCCTATGTCATTTAGCTGGAGCTAGAGTCACCTTATTTTTCATAAATGTTATTTAAAATAGAATGATTTTCCGCCTAAAATTATAAATTTATTTTCCCATAATTGTTCTATTCTATTCATATTTATTTATATAGCGCCTTTTTTGCAGATACGAAGCGCCTCTGTCACTGGTCATTGGATCCACATGCTTAAGTGTTGCTGCTGTATTCAGTGCAGGAGCAAGCAACCCCACCAGGTACCCATTTATACTGAGCTGCGCCAAACCGCTTCACCGATAATAATAATAATAATAATAATAATAATAATAATAATAATAATAATAAATAACGATAATAATAATTTAATAAATTTAAATAATTTTTTTTTTTTTTTTCGTTTTTGCTCTGTATGTTGGGACGGTAAACTATTTAGGCCCTACAAGCGACGGAAACGACTCAATGAAGGATTAACGAGTGACAACACATTATTATTTTGGAGAAGACTAAATTGTCTTAAATGTTAATTGGAAAATCTTAAAGAAAATGGGTTGTCGGACAGGTAGCCAATGGGTGCTTTTAAGTACTGGACTAATAATATGGCGGTGTCTTTAAGTTAAAGAACATACCGTAAAACCTCGAATTGAAGCCCAATGGGCTTAATCTCGAGATAGTACAGTAGGCCTAGGCCTACATATCACTGTACATGAATTTTAAAGAAACAAAATTAATCAAAAATACGCTTGGTTTATAAAGTACTTTAGGTAATTTAATGCCGGTAAATACACTCAGTGGCCCTATTTGTTGCTTTATGAATACTATCCCCAAATTTACCGCATTCATTTTGAAAAGAAGACCCCTCTTTACTTTGCAAAAGAGCCTCGAAGGTAATAATTGTTATGTTTTGCAAACATAACTGATGTGCTGGTCGAATTTTTAGAGTGATCTAGACAACACACAGATTTCGAACAGATGAGACTGATCTAATTATTATTTAATTATATAAGCTGTCTTTTTACATGTTTGACATTGCGCCCTCTGTTGATAATTTAAACTACAGAGAGGGAGATGGGGTACCGTACCCACAGAAGTTATCCATGCGCGCAATCGTTTGATTAGTCTATTATGTCTATTCAATTTTGCTAGCAAGAACCAAAATGAGTTTAAGAACAGAATGATTAAATATGTTGTATTTGTCGATGCATACTTATTTAATGGTATGTGATATATATATATATATATTTTTTTTTTAACTTAGGGAAAATAATACAGGAGGAGGGCCCAGGCCTAGTAGTAGTAGTAGGCCTAGCTTTAGCCTTTAGTAGGGCCTAAAACCTAGGCCCTAGCTAGTACTAACTAACTAGCCTAGGCTAGCTACCTAGGCCTAGAGGGGACTAGCTACGCCCACTCCATCCTAGGCTTAGTAGTAGGCTAGGCTTTTGGCGATTTCGTACCCATAGTTGACTAGCCCTTACCAAATTTTCGTGCAAGATCTACCTTTTTTATTCAAACATTATGCAAAAATGTTATCTATTTTCATAGTAAACATGTTAAAAAAGCAAGTCAGAGGATGTATTTTGGAGACTCAATTAACCAAACTTTATTTCAGCCTGGGCTAGGCCTATGGTAAGTCGCTAATTTTCGACATAGTACTAAAAACATCGTAATTTTCGGACTTTTGGAAAATAGAATTACAGGAATCTAATTTTAACAGATGCATATAATAACTCATACCTTCCATAACCACGAATTCATAAAATTAAATTGCATCCTGCCTGTAAAATGTAATCATCCTTTTGCCGAATATACGCTAGCTTTGACACCCCTCTAGTTTTCAACCGTTAATTTTCGACAGTCAGTGCTATTTTCGCAATTTTCATCTCTTGGAAAAAAAAATTTATTCGCTTAACAATAATAGAAATGTTAGATAAGGCCACGTAAAATAAAATAATTGTTTAGCATTCTTTTGTTATCAAATTTCATGGTAGGGAGGGAGGTTTTTTTTTCTCGCCGAACATGAAAAACAGCGTCGGAAGGAAAATTAGCAAAACAAAGAAGAGGAAAACATCAGAGGCCAAAATTGGAAACAAGAAATCATGCAATTTTAAAGGATTAGTCAGTGTCATCCACTTGGAAACTATTTATATAGTCATACAAGATTTGGATTTTGGCCTAGACCATTATTAGGGCTAGAGCTCTTGTGCAAAACGTAATAGAATTAGATACTTATTCGTTATAAATGCAATTCATCTACACAGTGAAGGAGTAGTTAGGTATTTTGTGGGAGAAGATTAGTGTAACCTAAATAATAAGTTTTGTACTGTAGTACTGTAAATATGATAATCATATATGTTTGTACTTTATTGAATTAATTATTTTTAGGAATTTAATAATAATTTTATAGTATTTTTATATTGTACTATTAATGAATGACCTATTTTTATACTTAATTTTTGAACTATTTTTCATAATTTTTAATTGAATTATTGAATTTTAGCAATTGTAATAATTATAACTTTTTTATTCAAAAGTTTTGCTATTTTTCAATCCTATAATGCATTTTTGTCGTAATTGATTATGTAAATTCTGAATATGAATGATGTTATATTTTTACATGCGAGTCAGTTTGCACTTGTGCAAATAATGTTGTGTAGCATTTGCTAATGGAAGGTGAATTTCCTTGGTTGTATTTTACAAAGACAATTTAAAAGTTATCTATCTATTTAAACTATATTATTAAAGACAAAGTAATACTAATTAGAAGACAGCAGGAATGAAATTTATAAATTTATGATCATCATCAAATCTGTAACGAGGGGACACTATTACAGAGTAGTGACAGAGCCATAGGCACTTTAGTAGAGTTGAATTTTTGACGAAAATCAGGAATACTTGCAATATTCCATTTAATAAATTTTATGTAAATATTCTGTGTCAAAGAATGGCTAATAATAATGTATAATTGTCAACATATACTTTTCTACTTTGTATACACTTGTATGTTTTTTACTGTATTTTTTTTCTAGATGGGATCCATCAGCCAGTTCCATACAATGGTCAAGGCTGTTTTCTTTCTAGTGTCAAAATGCGTAAGGATAAATCAGAGAATAAAGAATTAGACTGTATTTGGACATGGGTGAACAGCCAAGATGAGTGGAGAAAATTTTTTGCAAAAAGAAGCCAAACAAATGATGAAAGTTATAACAAAGAAAGGTCCTATTTGGAAATTATTTTGTAAAAAGTATTTTTGTAACATTTTAATTAAAATACTAAAACAATTTATCTGGCTCACAGAACCAAATGTAAAAATACACTAAAAAAATTTGAAAAATAAGCCTTAAACATTCAGTACAAACTTTGAATATCCCATTAAATTATCAAATAAGTTAACTTTGAATCAGAAACAGATTTAACTACAAAATCATGAAATTGATTTCAAGGGTCTATACAAAAGAATATAACAATGGCATTATAATATTTTACTGTCCATTGTTTGATAATAGGGAAAAAATTTCACATTCAAATTTTAATGTACAGTAAGTTAATAATTTACTTGAATATACAAATTAAGCATTTCCAAGTATTGAATTTTACAGTTTTCTAGAACATAACAGACAGTTGGATATTAGGTAAAAAAAATTAGAATGTGCTATAAGGCATCCATTTAATATAGTAGGCCAAAATAATCTTAACATTCATAATGTAATGTGTTGAGAATTTATATTTCATTTAATCTAATTTATAGAAAACATTCTTTCAAAATTAATGCTCATTTATTATAATGGTAAGACATTGCATTAAAGGTTTGCAATTTTCTAGGCTTTTACGCTGCCAAAAATACTCATGGGACTTTCTATTCCCTTGTGTTAATATTATTGTCTATTATAGTCTGTTGTAATTGTTTCATTATTATTATTTTGTGTTTAATAGTCCATCTGATGATTGGCTGATAGCTGAAAGTCTTCACCATTTAGCAGATCAACTACCTCAAGCTGGTAATTTTAGCTGAAACTATTTGTATTTTACACTCAATATTTAATTTGGTGGTTATGATGCTTGCATACTAGTGCTACCGATCTCTTGGCCACTGATAGAATATTTCTATAAATAATGAAATGAGACTTATGAAAAGATCACATGTTTGTGATTGTTGAGATGTTTTAATTTATGCCTTCATTAGCACAAAATAGTACAGGATTTATTTTGTCATACTAATGATATTAATACCGTAATACATAATATTGAAATGGTAATCATATTACTGGTAAATATCGATATTGGAAATTATTGGAACAGCAAAAATAATAACATGATATTCAAAAATAATTTGCTGTTTTTTCTTTATTAAGGTTACCTTTTACAAATTGTCTGGCTGCTGCATGAGGATGAGCACCTCCCACTGCATTCTAACCTGCTAATGTTTGGCGCCCTCAAGAGGCTACAGTGCTGGCATAATGCAGAAATTGCTTGCTTTTTATTAAATAATGATTCAGAGGCGCCCATCCAATCGTGGATTGATCATCTTGATATTGAAGTGTCCACCGACCTGGTTGATATTTTGCAGAGACGAACAGTATGGCGTGGAGAGTTGTCTATGACAGATAAGAAGGTACCCTCAATATTTTTTTTATATCATTCACCAACAAGGGGCAAAAAATTCCCTTACCAGTCTTGAACAATTATTTATATCGGTAGGCTTAAACATATTATGCTAAAATGCAAGATGTGAAGCAAAGATTAAATAAACTATTAGTAACAAGTGGTAAAGACAAGCCAAACCAGTCTTTATTACTTTTGAGTTATTAATACAGGGTTAAAGAGTAAAATAAGAGCTATGAAATTGTAAAAAAAATCATTCAAATCCGACAATTCCTTATGAAGTTACAAGCGTTTAAACATACAGCTGTTTATAAAGAATAATATATGATAAATCAGCCTGCAAAGTATATGTTTTCGGGTATTTCTCATGTAGAAGCTATATATCTTGAAATCCATAAGAAGTGTTGTTTTAACATTGAAAATGGGGAACATAACAGCAGAGTATGATGTATAGATATATAAAGTTTAGTTTAGTGCAATAAAATAGATTTTTAAATATTTGACATTCCATGTTTTGGCTATATTCTCTGAAACACGATTTGCGACGAGTGACTGGTTTGGCTTGTCTTTCCCACATACACTGTCAGGCATGAGGGAATTTCATATTTTTTCACTTGTCCCTGGACAAGTACCTTTTAAAAATGCACTTGTCCTGAAGACAATTTTACTTGTCCCAATATTATTGCGCAATAATCATAAAAAAATAACACAAAAGTAAAGTATTTTTGCTATGGCCCTACAACCTTAAAAGGCCTACATGCATACTGCATTGATCACACAAAAATGTTTTTCTTTTTTTTTTTAATTTGCAAGAATTAAAACGACAACTGCAAGTAAAAATTTCTCAGGCATGGTTGATTCCCATGATACACAAGTTTTCTGCAAAATACCTGTGGAAATCGGCACATATTTTTAAATGCGGCGACGGATTTCTGGGCCTAATATTTTTAGCAAGGAATATTTTACAGCCTGACACATCCTCAATTCATTTATTGCAAAATAAATGAAATTGCTTTCCTCTCAACAAAAGACAAGCACTGTAGGCCTATATAACTCTGAGCATGGGCCGAGGGGACAAATCCCTTCTAGAGAATCTCAGAGATGGCGATATTTTTGAAACGGGAAAATGATTCATTTATAGGCCCTAAACCCTCAATTTTACAAGATTTGGATTTTATATGCACATTATCATCATCACTTTAATAGTGAATGATTTTTTAATTACTTTAACAACTTTAAATCCCAATTTAACTACCCTTTCTTAGTCTGTCTAGATTGCCTTCCCCACACGCGCAAACGAAATAGACTAGGCCTATTTTGAAGTCAGCCTAATGGCTGCTGTTCATATTTGTACTCGAAAGTAATTACTAGTCTTGAAGTCCAGACACTTCATGTCATCTAACTACACTTATCAACTTACCAATTTACCAATACCAATTTATAGACTAGACCAGACAGACCACATGCACCAGGCTTAGGTGGCTGACGGATTACAGGTACGATATCGTGGGAAAATATGTAGGTCTGCTAGGATCTGGCTAACATTTAACGATTTAATTAATTTTCAATCTTTACGGCAGAAAATAACAAATTTTATACTGTATTTAGGCCATACATTTTTTCTTTTAAACCGTCAATAAATCGCGGTAGTGTAGGTGACTAACTTGATGAACACTGTGCTGTGTGTAACCGGCCATGGCATAGTCGGTTTTATGTTTGATCTCTCTTTGTGCGCCAACAATTTATTACTAAAATATCCCTGCGCATTGTAAAGAGTCAGACTTTTTATAAGTACTGTGAAAGCATTACGCATTACATGGTGAAGTAGCCTATTCTAAAAGTGCTTGTCCATGGACAAGTGGTCCCTAAAATTCTTGTTGTCCGACTGTAAAAAACACTTGCCCTGGGGCGTCGGGCAAATGGGTTCGCTCATGAATGACTATAAAAAAGGATTGAAGAAAGCACTTTAGTGTTTTGACTGATATTTGTTATAATTTGATATCTCTGCAGAACCTTATGAACTGTGTGCTACCAGGTTTCTCGTTGGTTGACCTTGGAAAAACACAAGATGAATGTGTAGAAGTAAAGACATCTAATATCAAGGAAGAGTGGATCACACATAGAAGTCCGCAAATGACAGTTGTTCAAGTTGTAAAGAAAAATGATATTCCATTTCTTTACATCACACCTGAATGCTACAAGCTGTATCCTTATGTGCACACATTTTTTGTTGTAATATTGATGTTTTATTATTCAACATGTTAGGCCTTACTAATATTTCTTTTCAGTTACTTTTACCAAAACAAGACTACTATGTGATTATTACCTCCGCCAAGGAGGTAATATATTTGAGCATTAAAAAAAATAATGGAATTGCGCATCAAACACACCCAGCACATTGTTTGTGTATTGGTTGTTACACATGACAACCTGTATTCAAAGGGCATTACCAAGTCAATGCTACCCAATTACCAAGTCAATGCTAACAAATTACAAAGTCAATGCTACAGGCTGTTGCCTATTTGCACCTAAGTGTTGGAACATTTCACAACCAAACTCAAAACAAACTTGGGTATCTAGGCCTGCCTAAATTACTTTAGAAATCCACCCTATGATACTCCTGATGCCATAAGTTTCTCTTTTCTTAATATACCTTCAGCTGTGTCATGCCAAATAGTTCTGGGGTTAAAGTGTCCAGCCATTTTTTGAAGTCTGTAATCGAAAGTGATGATGGAATTAGTATAATAGTGAGTTTGGATTGCCAGAGACTATCACAGTCAATGCTAGCACCACCCCAGTGCCTCTCCACTACAAAATGGAAACGCCAGATTTCTGCTAATCCCATGGATTTTACAGGTAATTCTAGGGTGCTACACTACTTACCATCAAATTTGTTGAGAATTTATTTTAAAAAAAAAATCATTTTCCTCCATAAAGTTGACCCATTTTAAAACTGATAGAAGTGTTTTTCAATAACGATTTCAAAATATAAAAATGTTGTTATTTCTAGCATTAAAAGTAGTATGCCCTGAGAAATTGGCACATTTAAACACCAATCAATGAATGCATAATTGGTCATCAAAGGTAGTAAATATTTTGTGAGAAAAACAGATGTTCTTATCAGGATTTAACCCCAAGATTTAACCACAAGCTATGAACTTTTAAATTTTCCCACTGGAGCATTTTTTTTCTGATAGTTACTTCGGTATGGCGATCAAAGGGTGTCCACAGTTTTTTTTAATCAACAATATAAAAAAAAAAAAGAGTAATCAACAAGAGCTTACAAAATGATGTTTGTGTTCTTACGTGTACCTGTGAAACCATCATTTGATACAACAAGGCCCCTTCAACCATGGCAATTCAACCTCAGCAGGTGTCCCTCGGCTTGCTGCACTACAAGTTCTATGGACCCTATGATTTCAGTAGCCTAGCCTTGTACCTGTGCTAGGTCCATTTATCTTTTGTAATCCTAGGGGCAATGTTTTAAATTGAATGACACAAAGCTAAGACTTGTTAAGGCTTATCTAGCCTATTTTCCAGTGTAATATTTTGTCATTTTTTACATCATAGGTTACGTCCAAGTCTTTAGATTGAAATATACCTGCAACAATTTTGTTAACGGTTCCATTCACACCAGGTTTACCACCACCCTTGACACTATGTGACAGTGAGAAATGGTTGCATAAAAACAGATCTGATCAGACCTGGATTATTCTAGATGATAAAGTTCAAATTGTGTATAATAAATATATTGTTATTTGCAAGTATTTGGGAACATAATGAGCATTCAGGTAGGGCAAAATCATAAGTACTTAAAAAATATACTATTAAAAATGAATGTTATTAATTGAATTTTTCATAATTTTTATTGATATTTTTTACTTCTTAGTTCCTAATGTTGAATTGAAAGGTTCATGGTTTAGTGTCAACTTTCTACTGTGTAAAGATAATGCCACCGGGTGCAGTGCATTTGTTTTGTTGTCTCCAACTGATTTGAATGGACATGTTATGATTGGTCTTGCTGAAATAGATAATCTAGCAAATAAGGATGAACGCAGTAAGTTGTTTTTTGTCACTTAATATCACCCATCTGCCAACAAAACGTGGTAATTGTCTATTTGGGAAGAAATTTTGCATTATCAGTGTTTTAAAAATGTTTTGTAGGGGTGTCGGCTAACTCGTATCCATGCAACTCGTACTCGCGCCAACCCGTACCCAAATTTAGGTCAACATGTCTACACATCGTTTGTGCTACTTTGACATCAAAATAAAATTATACCCAATATTAAATACTTCTTACTGTACTAAATTTTTCTACCAAAATGAAATATAATTTTTTAAATACTTTTTAATTTGAACGAACTACACTAAACTTAAGTGCCTATTTACGGCTCTTGACACTGCTCACTAAACTACTGTAATATCACCTCCATCATTTACAGTTTGAACACCTCGATGATCATGAATTTATAAATTTCATTCCTGCTGCATCAAAATCTTCTAATTTGTTTATAATAATATAGTTTAATTTATAATTATTATCAAAATAGATAATGCTCTTTACATAATGTTTGAAATACAGTCAAACTCGTCTAAGTCGAATGTGCCTAAGTCGAAAAATTGTCAAAGTCGAAATTATTTTCATGTCACTTTATCTTTATTTACAATGGTTAATATTTGCTCCAACTAGAATAAATTTAAGTTGAATAAAAAAGAAAGTCGAACATATTTTACATGCCAAATTGATCTGTTTTCCATTAATTTAGTCAGTAAGTCAAAGTCAAAATCTTGACGTAAAACTTCAATCATTTTAAGCTGTCGCCGCTTTACTAACATCACTGAACGTCAACAACTGACTCATACATTTGGCAATGCAGAAATTCACATGCTAAGTAAGCCCAACAAGTGACTCACGTTTACATTGCATAGCAGTACTTTGTGTAGTTTATTTTACATGCAACTCAACTCACATTCCTCACTATTGTTCAGACATGTGGTAAAGTCGACAAGCGACTAATGTTTAGGCACTGTTTCAGGTTTTGTTAGTTCTTTTTTAAATACAGTAAATTAAATTGTATCGCAAGATATGTATAATTATTGTAAAATATATGTCTGGAATTTAGGTATAGAGAGTAACCCATCATATAAAACAAATATGCTAGTTTTATCTTCATCCCGATCTTCGTTGCATACAAACTATCTGCGTGGGCGTCACCTCGCGGTGCAGCGAGAAGCAAGCACGTGTATGAGTAGTGGGCAACATCTGGCTTACTTACGATTAATACACATGTTAAAAATAATATTATACATGTTAATTTTTTTTCCTGTCTCTGTAAGGCCTAACTCTCCAAGTAAAGTTGCTATTGTGATTCGACTTTAGGCGAGTTTGACTGTACAAATGTAGATCTTACACAAAACATGGGTATGGGCTAGCCAACTATGGGTACGTGCAAGCAAGCAGTAGCCAGTAAGAAACATTTTAACTACTGTAGGACCTTGGCTCCCATTGTAAGGCCCACAAGAGTACAGTAGCTCTGCATAAACTGTAGAGAGCCTTACACACTGAGCTGAGGTGGTGCTAGAATACGAAAATTTGAACTCTCTAGATTACATCTCTATCACAAAATCTGTAACCTTAGCATATGTAGGGAAAAACTTTGAGTGTGCTCCACTTTTAGGTAAAATACACAGACACTTTAGGCCTCATACCGGAATCAAGCCTGGCGCCTCTGAATAGGCATTAAAAAGTTATGAGCATCTTAAAATCAGTTTAATTTGGGCAAAATTAATTATTTTAAGATTTTGACCTTCGGTTGTGTGGTCAACTACTAGCCGACACCAAATATTTTAATCGCAATTAGTTATTTGGGATATAGACTATAGCCAAATGCAAGATTATTCTAATCAAACATCAAATCAAAATAACTTGCCATCACAATTGCTGTACATTTTCTTTCACTGTGATGAAGCTGTCTTAATATCCAGTATATCTTCTCTTAATTGTCTTGCAAACTATTACGCATAATCAATTAAATTTATGACAATTTAAAAATGGCCGCAGCTCAATGATTGACTCCTGTACCCTTAATTTGAGGGAGTCAAATAACTACGTAGATAGTTGCCAATGGAAATGAAACTTAAACAGCTGTTGCGATAAATATTTTTATCGCAACTCAACCCCTTCAGTATAAACTCTAAAAACCGTATCCTAAACTGCAGTTTAATTTGACAGCAAATGCTTATGTGATCATTGGAGACAGAAATTTGAATATAATTGGTTACTATCAGAGTTTAAAATGTTCATAGAAAAAAAAAATTACACTGATAATTTTGAAAAGATCTAGTTTAATTTAAGCTTGCAAAATTCTAATAGTTAAATAATAATAATAATTTAAAAAAAATCACTATGAATTATAACCAGAGGAACAGTTAAATTTCACTGTTCCCTGATTACAACGTTTCATGATGCTAATCACTAACACAGATTCAATCTTGAACTCAGTAACTTTATTTGACATTTATTTATTTTATTTTATTTATTTATTTATTTATTTTTATTTTGTTTGTTTGTTTGTTTGTTTCGGTGTAAAAACAGACTGACATCAATCCAAGAGGGTAACAAGTGAGCTTACAAGCAGATACAATAAACATTAAACAAGAAACATAAAAGGAATGAATAAAATGTACACTAAATAAGAAAAGCCAACATTAAATACGTTGGCAATAGTATTATATTATTATCATTAGTATTACTATTAGTATTAAATATACATACGACAACCTTTAACTTTACATGTGGGTGAATAATTTGGTATTCTGTATAAAAAGAGCATTTTATCCCTGCATTTCTGAGGCATCAAATATGTAGATGACATGTTGAACTGGAACTCAACATCTGGGAGGGCTCCAAACAAAGGGCTGACTAGAGTTTAGGTCAGGGTCCTGGAATAAAAAATCCCTGGTAGGGTTCGTGGGGAGAGTTTTTATGGCTTGGTAAGGCCTTAGTAAGGCCCAACTTGAGTTTTTAGACCACAATATTAGGGATTAGCGATCAAAATAACATTTGGATATGCAATTTTTCCCCCTCAAGATAGGCAACATATTTCCTAGGCTGTAGCCCATCTTTAGTTATCTCACCATCAGCTACTTGGCTCTGGACTGATGAGCCGTTGATGTCAGCACAAATTTGCAACGGAATAAACCAATGGTGGGACCAAGTGTCTGTTAATGTTCTAGAGTGAGCAAATCGTTCAGTTAGTTTAAATCCCTCATCATTTTTGGAGACATCTTTATTATACACATGCAAAAAGATGATTCTTGGTATATTTTCTGATGCCCAAAGGCGTCTTTGTTTGTGACATAGGTTAAAATGTTTAAAGTTCTTGTATTGGGAAGCTGCCTAAAACATATTATTATTTATTATTATTTGGATTTATAGAGTGCTTTTCCAAGAGACCAAAGTGCTGTACAAAAATAGATAAAAAAAAAATTAACATTATCATACAATTGAAGCACATAAGAAATAAGACAATTAAAACATTAAGGATTAGGAAAAAGGTGCGCCTTGAGGAGTTTTTTTTTTTTTTTAAATTGCACATTAGAAGTCTCACGAACAATATTTGGTAAATTGTTCCATAGTCTTGGCCCCAGAATGGAAAATGACTTATCTCCAAAAGATCGTTTTGTTTTTGGAATGGCGAGACGAGTATGGTCTTTGGCGGTTCTAAGCCCTCGTCTACCTGAGTAATACATAGAAATAAGGTCACTCAGAATGATGGGAGCTAAGTTGTGTAGGCAACACATGCACCAAGATCTTATACTCAGTTCTCTGCTGGACAGGTAACCAAGGCAACTCCCGAAAAGTGGGGGCCGCAGAAGTATTACTTTGGAGATACTGTATAAGGGAACACAGATTTTAAACGACTCAATATTCTTAAACTGTAGACATGAACAGTGCGAGTGCCATGCCGGAGACAGTTGGATAAAATACACTGAATAACTTCAACTAGCGGCATCTCAATTCATATAGTATGGATGTTCAAATGATATATCATCATCCAAACCACCCTTTTATCCACCCTTTTTCCCTAGTTTTTAAATATTAAAAAAGTCTATATATCTTATTAATTAACCATTCCCAAGTTTTTTGTCAGATATGCTTTTTGTGTTTTGAAAAAAAATCAATTGTAAAACATATCAAAACTTTTTTCCTCCGGAGCCTGTCTTAAATCAGGGTTATATTATATGCAAACAATGATGTGCAGTACATGTTTAAAAAGTAGTTAAGAGGTTTATTTAGTGCATTTTTATAGTATTGTCTTTTAGTAGCAGTCAGCCAGTACTAACAAGCAGTCTACATTCAAATTAGATTTATAGACTGGGGGTTAGGAAATATTGGGGTTGAGCAGTTGAAACCAGAAGTCGCTGAAAATAATACCATTTTCACATTGGGAGTTTATATTGAAGGGGTTGAGTTGAGATAATAATATTTTTACCATATATGGCCAAGATACATATCTTCCAGTAGTGTAAGTTTCATTTCCATTGCTAACTACAGTATCTACATAGTTTTTTACCCCTCAAATTTAGGGCACGGGAGACATTTTTTGAGCTGCGGCCATTTTTGGATTGTCATAAATCTGATTTGATGTTTGATTGGAATAATCTTGCATTTGGCTATAGTCTATATCCCAAATAACTAATTGCCATTAAAATATTTGGTCTCGGCCAGTAGTTGACCGCACAATCTAAGGTCAAATTAATTAATTTTGCCCAAATAAATAAGATGCTCATAACTTTTTAATGCCTATTCAGAGCTTGATGCTGATGCCAGAAACAGAAAGTATGGGCAAAACTGAGCCAGAGTAGCAATTGTCAGCTTTCTAGTATGTCCAGAAATGAAAATATTGCCTTTCAAAAACCCTAACAAAATATCGCTGCACTTCGTGAGTCTGAAAAAGGGGTGTGTCTTCAGAATTTAAAAGTGCCGTAACTTCGGAACGCTTGGGAATTTTTCAATGAAACTTTGGGAATTTTCACAATACCCTTCAAAGTATATTTGGTTAAATTTTCAGCAAAATCCAAGATGGTCACCATGGAAACTTTCTAGAAATTGGTTGAGTTGGCATGGAATAACTCAATAATATAATAATGATTTAGATTTATATAGCACCTTACACTAATAAAAGCCCCAAAGCGCTTTAACAATGATTACTGTATATGATAGCATAACTTGGCATATCATTACTTTTTGCTTGCAGGTATTTATTTTATTAATATTTCAAGTGTATTGTTCAACTGAACCTATTTCTTTTTGTTTCCCTTTTTAACCAAAATAGAGGATAAACAGACAGATAAAAAGATTCCAGGACTTGATGCTGAAAAAGCTGAAAAGTGTGAGGATGCAATTTCTGAAATCCAACTTAAGTTTTTTGAACACTGGACAGGTAGTTACTATTTGCATCAATTTATAATCGTCATATTATATTAGTTAATTTGTAGTAGTGCCATCTGCCTGGGGCGGATGCAGGATTTGGCGGTAGGGGGTGGCTGTAAATTTTAAGAAATAGTACCTACAGATGGCCATCATTGACACATCACTATATCCAGTGTTCTCCCCAGAATGAGTGTCAAGCATCATGGTACCTGCTCCTCCCCCCACCCCCACACCATGGTTGGGGAAAATTTTTAAATAATTACCTATATTCCCTGAAATGGCACTCTCAGACATCAAAAATGCTTTTTAAGATTTTTGAAATGACTGTAGATTTTCATTAAAAAATTTTTTTTTTTGTGAAATTAGTAACCATATATTGTACTACTATTATAACCTAGCCAGAATTGCCACAGGATGGCAATTTTTTACCGACCTAGTTTAGGCCTTGGCCTAAATTTTAGCTTCAAACTGCTTGGCCTAGGCTAGGCCTAGCTAGATAGATAAACAAAACATCGGCCACGTAGGCTGCCTAGATTGACTAACACTTATCTAAATTTACTTTCATTGTAAAGTAGTATTATCATATTAAAAACATTGTTATAAAAAGAACAACCAAATTGAACATAAGGCCTATTGCCTAGGCCTAATTGTTTAAACACAAACACGATCAAGTTGTGACTTCACTGTCAAGAGAAGTACATGTGGTGAGAGGAAAATCCAGATAGATCGTTTTGGGCATGCGCATGGACATGCATCGGCAGTTTTGAAGCAAACAGTTTGTGTGAATCAAGCTAACGATCGTGTTTGGAAATGAAAATGACAACGCAAAAATAACGCAAAAGGATCAAGCATGAACTTGGGCTGATAAAACAACATCGTAAGATAGCATTGTTTTGTGTTTAAAAATATTTTCACATTCACTCTTCTTCAAACTAGGATACATGGACAGCATTGTTTATTTTGAAGAATTATTTTATTGAGGATATTTTAAAACGTCACAGAAGAAGCATCAAGCGTCACGGCCAGCTTGGGAACATCGCGGTGCACCGTGACAAAGTCCCAAGCGTCACGGTACCGTGACGCTTCAAGGGCCTGGGGAGAACAACCTTTGCCCCACTATGATAGTTGGGGCTGAGGTGGGTGAGAAAATTTGAGGAAATAGTACCTTTAGATGACTGGAAATGACACTTTTGTATAGTAAAATTCATCATCATCATGTCTAGATGAAGCGCCAGAAAATTTCTCATGATTTTTAATCAGATTTTCAGTAATCACAGAGATCTAATTATTATGAGTGATGTACCATAGAAAAAATCTAAAGAAACACTTTCTTTGACCTACTGTACCTCAAATCTGTGTGGCCACATCCACCTCAGCCCCACCATGGTTGGGGGCTGCGGTGAGAAAATTAAAAAGATAAAGGTAATTTTCGGGAAGTGTGATGTACGGTACCATAGAAAATACAACTTAAAAACATGTCTTTGATGTATTTACTTTACCTACTTCAAAACTGTGAGCCCACATGCATCACAGCACACCATAGTTTGTGGCTGAGGTGGTTAAATTTGGGGAAATTGTACCTCTAGATTGGCAGATATGACATTATTATCGGTCTAATTAATCGCTGTGATGTACCATAGAAAAAGAAACTTAATTGTCTTTGATATGTGCCAAAAACCAATTTTATCTTTGCACGCTGATTTTCATACTTCTCAAATTATAATAAATCGTGTATCGAATCGTGTATGATAGGTAATTCAGAAGTTTAGAGACAGAGTATACCGGTATCTTGCTATAAAATATGACTCTGGCTGACCTACCTCGCTCTTTTGTTAAAACCTGAGTCATTTATGCAGTTTATTTCAACAATTTTCAGGCATATCTTCTTGATTTCCGAAAAGTGAGGGGGGTGGGGCCAAAACCTTTCTCTTATACACATCTAGATGCTTTCCCCTTAAAAATATGTGGGGTGGGGGGGGGAACGTGTTCCACTTCCCCACTGATCTGTGCCCATTGGTCCGTGAAGAGCCCACGTCGCCTCAGCCCCAAAAAATTGACACTGGATTAACTAAAGGGAAGAACATTCACAATTCATATCAACAATATAATACAACAATTATTTTTCTTAATAGAATTTAGGGGGGTGCGACTGCACCCTCTGCACCCCCCTCCCCTTTGCATCCGGCCCAGATCTGGAGTAAAGTCAAATTTCTAAGCGGTTAAGCTGGGGCTCTGCAAACTACAGCCATAATATCGGCGCAGGTTTGAACGGCATGTTTGCTTCTGGTTCTTGAGGTGGAAAGAGTCTTTTTGGATAGGGACTGTAAACAATAGGCCCAGTGTAAACAATTTTGGCTCATGAGCACTACAAAGAACCCTCTAAATTTTTTTCGAGAAGAGTAGGGTGTTACCCGGGTGTACTGGTCCATACAGGCCTTGTTGCCTACGGATGAGAGTAGCTGGCACCATTTTAATTGGTAGCTCAGACACAAAGATACCCTTAGGGAAGAAGGGAGTTATTGTACAAGCTAGTCCAAGCACTTTGAGACTCTGGTGTAAAGCACTATATATATATCAAATTAATATTATTAATAAAGATATGACAGAATTATTCCAAAATTCTATTTATTTACATAGATTTTTCTTTTAATGATATTGGAGTTTTTTTTTAAATAACAACCACTTTGAAAAACAGTACTCGAATACTAAAAGTGCCTGCATTTTAAAGAGTAAATGACATTAATTAAATTTAATTATCATTTGTTTCAGAATTGCATCTGAGTCCAACTTGCTGGGTGGAGCGACAGGCTCTGCAGAGCAAGGAGTCCTATATTCGTAAATTAAAGAGGTTCAAATCATCTGATCGGTCACTCGGTGGAATTTCAGCACCACCAGTCGACAGCAGTGAGTGCACAGTTCAAATTCTTACTAAATCTCCAAATTGAAATAGTTGATAAACGATGCCACAACTATATTGCTTCACTAATAGTTTACACTGTTTGAGTAGTTGGTCAGTGTTTTTAAACTCTGTATTAATGCATCAAGTCAATCGCCGTCTTTTGATGTTAGTTTTGTAAGTATGTTCATAACCAAACTGTTGTAGAAGTCATTGGTGAAATGATCAGTATGTCTGTTGGCATATGTACAGTTGTTTTAACCTTTTGAACACAAGCCAGAAAATGGTCAAGCAAACCATACACTAATGAAAAATTAGTGCATGGTTTAGAATTGGAAAATAACATTATGAGATGACATCACAATTAACTTATAAACTATATTAAGATAAAAATATTAAATACTGTAATATTACTAAGTTTGTTTGCACACACTTAAAATTTAGCCCTCCAGTCTAGCAGCGAAACTTATAAGGCTAATTATTCACATTACCAAATTTTAATCACAAACATAAAAGAAAACGATATAGTCTCTAATGATTAATATATATTTTCAGAAATCACACTTGATGCCAAGGAATTTATTAAACACTTCCGCAGTGATGGCTTGCCCTTGGCTGAGGAACTCTCTCCTATTGCTGTCATCAGCAGTTCGGGTGTGTGTACCTCTAGGCCAGGATTGGAAAGGATTGAGGACGTTGCCAATGCATCATTCAATGAGGCTTTAAAGTATAATTTTCATGGAATTAAGTGAGACATTTTTATCTTTCCTTAAACATTACTGTGATAGCTTTAAACTGAGTGAATCAAATTCCTCTTATAATAAATTACACTATAATTCTTTCCTGTGTTTTGAGTACAAAACTAACAACTTAAACTTAAAAAATTAAAACCTACTATTTGATATAAAACTTGATATTGTGTGGCATATTCTAAAATTCTGGTAGTAAAACCCATTTTCAGATTCCCAAGGCCAATAACACGAATGATTTGATTTGAGAGTCTACACCCATCTTAACTTTACCATTTAAAGCTGAAGTGGACAAATTCTAATCATATGCTACAGTATAGCATTTTTTTTTTTGTTTTTTAATGAGTGTAGTATGCATTCCTGATGTGCAAATAAAACTCTGTAAGTAATATTCAATGGCAATTTTTTTTATATATCTTTATCTTAATAAATTTGTTTGAATTTATATCATAAGTTACAATTAAAGTAGCTGAAGGGACATCTTAAAAGGAAAACAAAATTCGAAAAATTTTAATTACAGTTACATATGTATGAAAATTCTCCTTTTTTATGGGTCAAAAATGGGTCACATTGAGAACCAGGTTTGAAACAAGCAAACTTTCATATCTGTTAACAACTAACAGAAAGAAAATAAGACTGATAGAGATGCTCGCAATGAACACATTTAGGGGAGTGGTAAAAAGCATGGCTGAGGCAAAATGTTTTTGGAGCAAACACGTGTAGAAATGTTCTGTGACAATCTAAGAGAATCTTAGATGTTATATTCTCTAAGAAAAAATAGGTTTATTGATAAGATCAAGACCAAGTCTCCTCCACTGCTGACATCTTGCTTGATTAAATCAGGTTACACTAGTATTTTATTATTTAACATATACAGTATAGTTGACTCTAACATTTTATAATTCAGCTACTGTCTAGATTCAAGGAATGCAGAATATTATGATGAAAAATATCAAAAGCTTGAGTCAAGAATTATTCGCAATGAAACAGTATCCACATGTACAATTGAACAGGTAGACTCCCCAGCAACTATGGCCATCAACCCTACAAGGTCATCACCAAGGAAACGTCGTGTGAGAACGCCTAGGTCAAAGGGTAAACTTCATTCAAGAAAAACGATTCAGTCACCAAGGCTTGCAAAGCAAAGTTCTAGCACCAAATATGAGATAAGTAGTAAAAGGTACTCAGTGCATGTATTTTTAGAATTTTATTCATCCATATTGTCAGAATCCATGTCGTGCTACACAGTGGCGTGAAGCCTGTGAGCTCTCCGGGGAAACAGCCCGGAGGCCCACTCAAAAGGGCCCCGGGCTGGAAAAAAACTTTAAAAAAACAAAAAAATTATATTCAAATTTAAGTCAGAGTGCCATTTCTGGCCATCTTAAGGTCACATAATCATGAAATTTCTTACCATCTATCTGTATATGTCCCTCCCTGGTCCACCCTTTTACAAATTCCTGGATCACTGATAATAGTAAGCAAAAATCAATAAAATACCAATGTCGTGAGTCGTTTTTTAAAAGTGTGCATCAAATTTTGGGGATCTTATAAAAGTAACTGTGCTATTTACTATCAAATTAATAAAGGAGTTGCGGCTAGTGTGGGAAATCACAACTTGGGTCTCAGAGAAAAAAGTTTGGGAAGCATAGATGTGAGAATCTTGTGGCTGGATTGCCATTTTAATGAGTGATTAAGTTCAGTGTTTGGCATATCCTTGGCCCTAGTGCCAATATGTTACCTCCGTATAAACCAATCTTGTCACTTTCATATAGGATTCTAATCAGTGGCGGACCATAGGGTAAATTGCAGGGTATGCTAGGTAATGGCATATCGGATGTGCACGTCTCCCCCGAAAAAAAACACACTCGCCATCACTCAGTCGTGCCCCCTACCCACAAATCATGCTCAAGTAGTTAAAAATCACCTCAAATCACCTTATTTTGTGGGTCAGCCCCCTCACCTAATCACTGATCTCCCACTTTAACTTCCCATCCCCATCAGCTCTTGGGTTCAAATTTTTGATGAGAACAATAATAATGTTTTGTCTCAAAAACATTATTATCACCAGTTAGTTGTGTACAACTATGCCAAAGTAACTATTATGTGCTTTTAAAATAAAATGGTAGGGAACTTGCAGTATGACATCTTTGTATGTCTTTCTGTCAAAAAACCTAAAGGTGATTACAATTTCGAAACCCCTAAATAGGGGTACTATACCATATTCAAGGAAAACCCCTACTAAAGCGACACTTTTTTTTGGTCCTGATGGTGTTGCCTTAGTGTCGGTTTTACTCTATTTGCAGGGGTTCAAGGTGGCAAAGTCCAAGGAACTCAAAAGCAACTAAGAAGTCATCGTCCACTAGAATAACATGTGTTACAAATTCAGAGGAAGTAATCCCACCTTCAGAGCTAAGGACTACAACAGTAACTAAAAAGATTCAACCATTTGAAAAAAAACATCCAGGAAAGCAAGTAGAGTCAAGATCAGAGAGACATAAAAGGGTATGAAATAATTTGAATAGGTTTTACCAACTCAATAACCTTTTACCTTTGTACCCCATCTTCACTTTTTACTCTACTACTGTTGTATCTTCATAATTTCCACTTCACAAGCAGCGTAGACCATGGAAGCTAGGCTTGTAGATTGGCCATACTGACTTAAAACAAGTTTTGAGCGAGCACTTGCGTGAGTCAGAGTGTGGTGGAATTAGAGAGGACTGCCATCAACTTGATGGTTTTTTGTGCTTCCAATTGCAGTAAGAGTGTTTGCAGTATTAACAGAGAACATGAAATATAAAAAAATGAATAGATCATTAATATCAAAAATCCAAGTTCATTGAATGCAAAGATCAGCTGTATAGTCACGCCAACGAAATATGCAAGTTATTATCAACCATTCCTCTAGACTTGCCACAAGTCTCTTATTTGTTTGTCTTCTTATTTTTCTCATTCTGGACAGCGCCACCAACGAGAAAGTTAATTTAGAGGTAGACAGAATAAGCGACTTGTAAAACACTGAAATCAGGCACCAGGATGCCAAAAGAATGACGTAATCTTATATTCCGTATTTGGATAAATGGGCCGACCGAAATAAACAATTTCAACCAATCAAATGTTTATATTTTCGGAGCCACGAAACTGAGTCACTCGCGTCGACTAGTTAGGCATGACTAAATTTAAATAGTCCTCCCTAATAAAACGGGCCTAAAATATTTAGAATAGACCCTAGTAAGACTAATTTTGGCAATGGCAAAAACAATTAAGCTTAGACTTGATGGCATACCATACAAATACAACAAAACTTTAACTTTCCAGGAAGATGGCTCAGGCCTCGTCTGGATGGAGTCAGTAGGCCTAGCCTAGACTAGTAGTAGAGGCTTGGCGTATTTTTAAGTTCTTACTTACAGAGGCCTACCTTTTTAACAATATTCTACCCTAAAGGCCTAAATCTGTAGCAGCTAGCGGTGAGCAAGGTTAGTATAGCCTACAGTTATCAGTCCATGTCATTCATTCTCAGCAGGCCAGAACTATTAATTAAACTGTTTTAATTCAAGTAGGTAGCCAAAAGGGAGCTGGAGCTTGTTCTAGTCGAGACATCCGCATCTTCAATTTTGAAAATTTACGAAGATTGATTAATATGCATGAAGTTAGCCAATCACGTGATTTACAAAATCAGTCATGCATACGATATCCCACAAGATGTGTATAAGAGACAGCATGAATCGTTTGCCCAGGCCCTAATTCGAAAAAAAAGAAATCGAGTATGGGACGCCAATTAAATTAGGTATGGCGCGCACTAAGTGCAATAAAGAGTGAGTAACCTAAAATTAGGGCCTGGAACCCAAGCTACCATTCCTCAGGCAAGATTGCTGTATGGTATGATTTAGATTGCAGGACAGAATATTTAGAATATCCAGAATCCAAATGGGGGGGGGGTCACAGGGGCCAGAAAATCACAAGGGGAGAAAATCACAATTCGTCGGAGAGAAAAAAAATGTATGTATTTTCTACATATTAGTAGACTCTAAAATTGATTGAATAAGCCTTTGAAACCACTAAATTGTCATATTTTTCGGGGCTTTTCGCCCCCTAGAACACTTTCGAGAGATTTTGAGTGACGTCCAACTACACCCACTTTTTTTTGTCGGGGACGTCAGACACCCCATTCGGCAAATCCTGGTGCCACCCCTGCCCCACAAACATCTGAATTACTTATAATACATGACTCGAGTGCATGTGCCTTTATTATAATTTGAAAAGTATGAGAAAATGCGTGTAACAATAATAATAAGATTGGTTTTCGTCACATGGTAAAGTTAATTTAAATTACATCAAAGACAATTCAGTTTTATTTTCAGCGATTAATTTGATCGATGATGATGAATTTTATTATATAAGAGTGTCATTTCCGGCAATCTAGAGGTACTATTTCCCAAATGTTCTTACTTAAGCCCTTAACTATGGTGTGGACTAAGTAGGTAGGCCTAAATTAAATACATCAAAGACAATTTTCTTTTAATATTTAATTTCTATAGTAGATCACACATATTAATAGATATCTATGGTTGCCAAAAATCGTTGATAAATAAACATGAGAAATTTTTTTTGGCGCTTCATTTTGATTATAGATGTGATGACGATGAATTTTCCTATTTAAAAATGTCATTTCTTATAGTAATTCGTGGTAAATCTACATATTTTTGATAGTTTTTGTCATTGTGTTGATTGTTTATCTGTTCTTATTGAAATTAAAGTATACTTTTAGTTTAGGCTGTTATTATCTTGTATTTTGTAGGATTTTTCTAGGCCCCTGTATGCTTTTGGCTAGCTTCAATTGTTATTGTCCATGGCACAGTGAGAGCTAATCGAATAGGTCACTGTCCATTGTTCTAATTCACACACTGCAGGCTAAACACACACACGCTAACAAACACATAGTTTCAGTAAATCTGTAAATAATTCATTCAAAATTGTATCTAATGAAATAAACATAATTAAATTTTATACATATATTTTTATATAATAATTAATTTGTATTCTAAATTTCTAAATTTTCTAATATTTTAACTTCTAGGTAGCTAGTTTGACTGTTTAAACATTGTCTTAATATTTGATAAATTAAAATAATAATAAACAATAATTATGGTCTATTCTCATATATCTATATTTAGCTTGGCTCGCTGCTGTTCTGTTCTGCTCTGCAGTAAATCCAATCAGTTTAATGTGAATGGTAGCCCTGAAATTTACATTAGGACACCTACGTCAGTATCTGGTTGGTCTGTGTTTCCAAAAGTCAAAGCATACATTAAACATACAATAACATATAAAATATGAAAAAGAATTTCTAAGAATTAAATAGGCCTATATCTTTAAAATGTTTTTTTTAAAATAAATATTATTAAAATTTGACTAGCTATCACATAAAAAAGCATTTCTGATGTTTGACTGGTAGCCCATTCCACATACGAGTAACTTGTCCAAATGCATAACATCCAAATGCCTAACATTAACAGTGAACATATTTAACATAAAACTCTTATGCAATTTATATAAAATATTAGTAACAAAAATAACAATAAAAGAATATTTGATTCCATGGTGCATTCAAAGTTTTATTGCATTTTTTGCCATTTTTTTGCAGAAATTAATAAAATACAATAAATAAAATTTCTGTTCATCTAGAGCTACTATTTCCTAAAATTGTCCCCCTCACCTTTTGAAACAGCTCTGCGCCCTTTTCAAAACCACCACCATGTTTGTTGGAAAGCATGTATCTTATTTACCAAGACAAAAATCCATGTTTATTCTGTGTTCGCTATTAATAACTACTATAGGCAAATGTACTCATAATATTTGAACCCTTCTTCTCTGTTCACTGATTGATTAATATATTTTATTATAGAAATTGAAATATATTGTTGATCAAACATTAAAGGCAAAAGGAATTGGTAGAGATAACCCATGCTATCCAGGAAGCTCTCAGCGACTCTATTCATTGACAAAAAGCTTTGTACAGGTAGGTCAAGTCATTGTCTTCTGCATTAGCCTAACAGCCATGAGCTCTCACTAACTAAAGTCAGGGCTCCATACCATAAGAGGTTCTGTGATATTCATTAGCATTCATTTTGCTCCAAACCGGTTGAGCAGGCCTTTTAAGGAGCAGAACATGTAAAAAGTATCAAAATACGCCTCTAAAATGTCGGAAACATGGTAGCGGGGGTTTACCCTGTGCCTCTGAACCCCAAGGTAGTAGGGCCCTAAAAAGTCTTAGCCAGGGGTGGTGACATGATTTGCTCGACAGGGAGCCTGATGTCCCTGATGTGGTCCTTGGTCCCCGGCCCCTTCCCCCACTAGCACCACCCCTGGTCTTAGCAAGAGGCCCCAGTCTCTTTGTTATGGCACTGTTCTTCTGCCTGCCCGTATCATTTTCAATAATTATTAATAGGATATGTATTATTTACAGGATGTTAACAATTAAAATTATATATATTTAATTTCATTGAAAAAACTATGCTCATAAATAGAAATATTTGTTTCTCTTTATATTTAGGACTTGAAATCTTCCAAAGGATTAGACCAACAGATGAGAAATATAGCTGAAAGCAATGTCGATCAAGTTCTGAGTTTTGAAAAGTCAAGAGTGTAGATAACAACATGACAACATACAGAGCTGCAAATATCGATTCTATGGAATCACAATTAGCTTGTTGAATCAATCCAACAAATGAACTTATTGCCAATTCACACAGATGAAATGTAACAAGTTGTGGTAAAAGTGGTAAAAATTCTACTCTCCAAGATATTACTGCCAAGAAAATCATCTCCACATCCAACCATGCAATATTCATGTAAGATTAAGATTATCCTCACCACGAGTCGATCCCAGCTTACTACTGTAAGGTGGAATAAATTACAATTACTACTTCAAGATGGTATATTCACTGCCTTCATGGGTATTTGATTTTGTATGGTCATGAGGCAAATTTGAATAAAGCACTGATTCAATATCCAAGATCAAGTGCACCTTGTAATATCATGCAATCTTCTCAGAGGCTGGTAAAGATTACAAGATTTTACAAGTGACCCTTGTGAATTCTAGGGAACACTACCAAGATTGGTACATTAAATTTATTTCACACACATAGATCATTTTTGTACAAATTGTTACATTTGATGAAATGTTGTAAACTTTTTGATTTTTTAAATATGTGTCAACATGAGTAAGTCAATGAAATATATTTTTATCCCATGTATAATATGCCATCATTAATTGCCTTATTTGGATATGTGGTTTGTTTGATTTCTCTTTAATCAAGTAAGGAGCATGTTTTGCCTGAAAATCTAAATTCGGAGAACAGATACGCCATGTTTGGCTGTACAGTATGTTTTTGTTGCAATTGTGGGAATAACAGCTGCTAGGGAGCAGGTACATAGGTTTTAATTGCACCATTTTCCATGATCATGTTGATAACTAAAAAGTCTACACTGCTTGTGGATTTGGTAGCGAAGAATTTAATTAAATGTTCAATATAAATGTGTCCATGAACTATCTTCACCAAAAGTCCAGATGATGATGTTATCTCCAATGTAACAAAACCAAACATGGCTCTAGGGACAGTTGGTTTCAAATTGTTCCATGAATAAATTTGCAAAAATGTGGAGCAATTTTTGTTCCCAGTGCTGCACCATGAATATGGAGATAAGGACAGTCTCAAACAAAATTGTTATTGTTCAGAATTAGCAAATTAGTTTTGGCCCAAATTTACATAAAATTTGAGATACATGCATTAACACCTTTTCATGTGAGATATTAGTATACAATGCTGAAACATTAAGTGTAGCCAGAACAGTATTATTAGGTAGTTTGAAGTTTGACTAATTTTGTGGATAAAGTCTTTTGAATGCCACAGACTTCATGAGCCAAAATGATGGGTCTGCCAGGATGATCTATCAATGAAAAGTTCCTTATCAATTGTTTTTAAAAGTGCCCATGGCGGAAGACAAACCTGAGATCTCCAGCTGTCAAGGATGTATCATACTAGGGCCGATGGTATATCGCAGATACAATTCAGCCAATGAAGCTTTCTCAAACAACTGGTATATGCCAGCACGAAGAGGGACCGAAGTGAACTAGAGTGTGCTCTAGACGTCACAGCTGGTATTATAATTAGAAACAGATTTGTACAGAATCAATGTTGCTGCATTTTATTTATATACTAGTACAATACTGTGTGCACTGATATGCAGCAACATTGATTCTATATACAGTATGCAAATCCAATTAACGACAAAAGTGAACTTCGTTTACTTTATGTTTATTGTTCTCACTAAAAATCTGTTTCATATGGCCAGCAAAGCCACAAAAAGATTTGAATGACACAATGTAGGCCTACAAAGGCTGCATAATTAATTAGTAATCAGGAAGTGGATTTAAAAGATATTAATGACCCAATGAAGGGCCACAAATGCTCCATAATTATTTACTTAATTAGTACTATCATTTGCTTGTGTGGGTGTTGAGTCTAGCCATATTATAATTTGTTTTAATAAAAAAAAACTGTTGCCTTAAAAGGAAAATTTAGGCATACAAACGATATTGATTGGTAAATTATGGGTGGTCCCGCCAAAGCCGGATCGCTTCCTATGGCATAGGCAAATATATACTGTATACCCCAGGTATACAAGCTTTTTAAGCTAGGGCCGATTTCCAATCTGTTGAGACCAGCGGCGGGCCGACATAAATTGTGTACTCCCATTTTTGTCGGTCAGTCCCACCCATTTTCTTTTGAAGTGGTGGATTCGAAATAGAAGGGGCCCAGGGAAAAACTTTCACAGATAGGTTCTCCTACCCTGCCACTAGAAATTTGCATGCCACTAAAATATCCAATCACCAGTTGTTGTGGTTCAGGTGAGCAAGTTTTTAACATGGATACCTTTAGATTCCTGGAAGTTGCACTTTCATACTCAAAAATAAGTTTTCCTAAGCAGTGTTTTCAACAGAATACATGCCCCCGAGCCTGCTGGTACACCAAATGTTTAGACATCGCATCGTGTCAGCGCCTCATTTAATCCATAATTCCCATTAGTCTCCCCCTTCCAATGTCAATACCTACGCCACTAGATACAGTGAGATACACTCAGAAAAAGGGACACTCTTTCCTGTAAAGAGTGCTATAGTAGAGGTACCTAGTTGGTGTTTTTCTAAACAGAAAAACTTCTTCTAAATATCGGCCTGAAAATGATTTCATTTTAGCAATGTTGTGCAGGACAGATCAAAATCTTTGGCCGGCTGGAGTTGGCCCGCTGGCGGGGGATTGAATAACGGGGCTGTATACAGTACTGTATAAATAAAAACAGGAGATACGGTGAAGATTTTCATCAAAATTTATTTGAAAACAGTTAATTTATACTTTCGGTCATAGACATTTATCAAGTTAAAAAAAAAAAAAATGGTAACATATAAACAAGACAAAGGTGGGGAGGGGGGTTATATAATAGGCCAATAGGAGTTAGAAACATAGATCATTGGATAAAATAAGGAATGAGAACAATAAAGAGCTCCATACGTGGTCTGCATATACAACCCTTAAAGGTGCGAAAATAGCATTAATAACAATATATAAATATATTTAAAAATAAAATATATATAGGCCTAAAATACATGGAATGTCAAAATCTATATAATATAAATTAAAAAAATGGCATAATATAAGGCCTATAATATAATCAAGTGAATAAATAGATACAAACGCACTGTCGGTACCAGCATGAGAGGCGCGAAAATGGTTCATAACAGTCAGATATACAGTAATACATGTCTTATATAAATATATTAAAATAAATATTTTTTTTTTTTGTGATATAAGGGGGAGGGTGCGCGTCGCAGGCGCCCCCCCCCCCCTAAATCCGCCCCTGCAAATGGGGACAATGCCATGACACAAACACTACCCCCGAAGCAATTGAATTCAGTAAAGACGCGTCATACTCGAAAGTCACTGACGACAACGGCGCGCCATAAGTAAGAAGCGCCTGATCGATCCTCTTTGATTGAGAGAGGAGGACTAAACTCATCGGCATGGATTGACCCTATGTTTCACAAGCTGGTGATAGTTATGTACATGCTGTAGATATTATTTAGCCTACTTAATTATTGATACAAGGTAAGTAGGCCTAGTCATGCCTACTACTATCTAGGCCCAGAGACCTAGTGTAGTAGTCAGCGTAATCCCCTAAATAAAAGCCGCAGTCGTACAGCGTTGTCAGTGTACACCTCGGCTGCTGTTGTGGTTTGTTCAGCCAGCCTATCTGGTAACCATAGTAACAGTTTTTTTTTCTCATGAGAAAGCCTAGGCCTAGCCTAGAGAGGAGGTGATATCTCACTATTAATATACCCTAAAAAGTAGCTCCATGTTTTGATTGCCAGATTCAAACGTATAGCAGTACTAAAATGAAACAAATTGTAGCTAGCCTAGGCTAGGCCTGCCTTTGCTGGCTGGCTGGGCTAGGCAGGAAGTAGGGGTAGGCCTAGCTAGGTGAAGGTGAGGGGGGTGGGGCTTATCCTAGGCTAGGCCTACCTACCTAGGCCCTAAAGGCTAGACTAGCCAGCCAGGAAGTTGCATTGGCTTCTGGATATGGTTGAGTCAGCAGTTTCAACCTAGGTCATACTTTCGCCAACTATTAACCTATTCTCCCTAAATAAAGTTACTTTTTAGGGCACATAGAAAAAAATTATCAAATTATCACTCTTTTTTTGTGATGAGGGCAGGCGGTTTTTTTTGTTTTTTTTAATCTGAACAATAGAATATTGTTTTTTTAATTGGTGAGGGAGGGACTGTTTTTATTTGGCAAGAATATTGTATTGTAAATATTGTATAAAAACTGGTTTAATTTAATTTTTTTTTAAAGAAAATGTATTTCCAGTCACAAAATTGCATCGTTTTTTTTTTTTAAGCTGTTGTTAAAATAAATAATGCGGCAAAAAAAATGTTTATTTTTATTCCTGCATCAATATTTCCCAAATTTTTGACGCGGGCGGAGTGATAATCTAAAAAATGTTTCTATTTGCCCTTAACTACAGAATGTGGTAAGTTTGTTACATTAACTGTTTTAGATTGAATGTGTTATGTCGGGACGTGACTCAATAAACTTCAGTAGACAGTTATATAAGTAAACAAATCAACTTTAATAAACAAGCTAATTAATGATGACACGAGAGCTAGTAACTACTCAACTTTTTTTTTTTTAAGCTGTTGTTAAAATAAATAATGTGGCAAAAAAAATGTTTATTTTTATTCCTGCATCAATATTTCCCAAATTTTTGACACGGGCGGAGTGATAATCTAAAAAATGTTTCTATTTGCCCTTAACTAGAGAATGTGGTAAGTTTGTTACATTAACTGTTTTAGATTGAATGTGTTATGTCAGGACGTGACTCAATAAACTTCAGTAGACAGTTATATAAGTAAACAAATCAACTTTAATAAACAAGCTAATCAATGATGACACGAGAGCTACAGTTAGTAACTACTCAAGATGGATGATTCGCCCTCTATATATTCAGCTGTTTAGGCGTCGTGTGTATGTGTATATGTATGTGTGTATAAGTGATGTATTAACCAACTTACTTATATTATTAGTATTAGTATTTCTTTTTATCTCTATTACTATTTTTGTAATCCCTTTTTTAAAATTTATATTTCGTTCTACCGCAGTATTTTCTTACTATATTTTATCACAGTAATTAAGTTTTTACTGATTTTGTTATTGTTGCACGTCTTTACGGCTGTGCCTCTGTTATAAAAGAGAAGCAATAAAGTTACTTACTTACTTACCTGGTGACTATGAGTGAGTTATACCACATCCCCTTTACTAAGATGATAAAATATTCTATAGAAACTATTTTTAGAATTATCGTTCTTTGTTTCCAAATACATGCGCAATTCACTGTAACTATAAAAACAACTGATAAAACTGTGTTACATTATGAACATTTACGTCTGAAAATTTAACAGTTCAACAATCAAAACTTGACTTTCATGTCCAGCATACAAGATATTTACAAGTCAAGTCGCTTTGGAGGCTTGATAACTCTACCACTTCGAGTCTTAGCAATGTCGCTTGGCAAACATGTTTCGGGCCTCGGTGGTCTCGTATCCTGAATAAGCGTAGGTGTGATGGATTCGTCCCTTGCCATTTTGTCTTCGCTTTCATGTACGTTTGAATCGCGATTTAAGCTTACTGGCGCACTAGTCGGCAATAAGTCTCTGGTTTCTACGGACTTTGGTGCTCCCAGTCTCAATAACGTATGAGCGGGGTGTGTCTGCCGCTTTCGCGATTGTCCCGCGTTTCTGCTGGTCGCGTATGAACACCTGATCACCTTCAGCCAGCGTGCTGAGTGGTCGGGCTCTATGACGATGGTCGTAGTTAAGCTTTTGCTTCGTCCTGCTCAGTCTTTCTTTTTGTTGTATGATTTCAGGCTGAGGCCATCGTGGAATTAATAGGCTCTCACTGGTAGGCAGTGACGTCTTTAAACTTCGCCCCATTGGTAACTCTGATGGACTATATCCATTCGCTAGCTTAGTCGCTCTGTAATTAAGGAGTGCTTTATGGTAATCCTCTGGATTCTTTTTGATCAAGGCTTTGGCGATCTGTACAGCTCGTTCCGCTTCTCCACTTGCTTGTGGATAGCGAGGACTTGACGTTCTGTGTTCAAAAGCGTAGTCGTTTGTGAATGCTTTGAACGCGTCTGAATCATATTGAGGACCGTTGTCCGATATCAAAGTGTCCGGAATACCATGCCTCGCGAACGTTGCCTTCATCTTTTCAACTATGACATCACTTTTCGTCGTAGTTATTAATTCTACTTCGACGAACCGCGAGTAGTAGTCAACAATTAATAAGTAAGTGTTCCCTTTCAAGTGAAACAAGTCAGTCGCCACGATTTTCCATTGGCGAACCGGTGTAGGGGTTTGCATTAACGGCTCTCGTTTGACGTTTTTGTTTTCTGCGCACATGAATTTACTATGTCCTCTATTTGGCGGCTTAGACCTGGCCAATACACAGACGACCGTGCTCTTTCACGGCATTTGACTATACCCATGTGGCTTTCGTGAATTTTCTCAATTATATCTGGACGTAACGCAGATGGTATGAACAATCGATCACCTTTGAAGATGATTCCCTGGGCGATTGACAGATCGCTTCTTACACTCCAAAACGGCTTTATTGCGTCTGGAACGTCAGCTTTATGGTCTGGCCAACCGTCGAGAACATGTTTAGCCAATGTTCTACTCACTGGGTCTGCTGCGGTAGCATCGCGTATTTGCTGTAAGCATTTGTCAGATGCTGGTAGGTTTCCTACGACGCAGTTAACGTATGCTTCCATTTGAGTTTCCAGCGCATCCTTCGCATTTTCGGTAGACTCCAGCGGCGCTCTCGATAGAGTGTCCGCTGCGTGCATGTCCTTCCCAGGCATGTAGATTGGGTCATAATCATATCTCATCGACTATGCACGCGACACCGTCGAGTCCTTCGATTATCTTGAACATTTTGTTTTGAAAGTGTTCGCTTGCTGAGTTAAGACCGTATGGCAACCGCGTAAAGTGGTAACGACCATACGGTGTTATGAACGTCGTGAGTTTAGCCGATTCCTCTGACAACGGAATTTGCCAGAAACCGCTATTCGCGTCCAGCTTAGAGAATACACTAGCTCCTGAAATATCTGCAAGTGTATGGTCAACAACGGGCATAGGGTAAACTTCCCGTTTCACACTCACGTTCAATTTTGTGAGATCAACGCAGATTCTCGCGTCTTCGCCATTCTTCTTCGGAACTACTACAATTCCTGCGCACCACTCTGTTGGCTTTTCAATTCTCCGAATTACGCCAAGTGCTTCCATTTGCTCCAGCTCGCTTTTTACTTTTGGGAGCAGGGGTATTGGGATTCTGCGTGGAGTGTTCAATGCGTAAGGTTTGGCGTCTGGTTTCAACTCTATAGTGTAATCGCCTAATCGCCTTCGAGCTTACCTAAACCCGTAAAGCCCCAATTTTTCAATGATCGGCTTGCTTATAGTAGCGCTCGCCGTAAGTTTTCAACCACATAAGCGTTACCCTTTGCGACATTTTTAGTTCTGTTGCACACAACCTCAAATTTGGCCATGAACATGCCGATTACTTTGAGCTGATCACGTCCAGGTCCATGCAACGTTACGTTTGGCTTTTTAAGCTTCTTGATACATTTAGCTGCTAGCTCCTTTGGAACTACAGTGACATCCGCGCCAGAGTCTAACTTGAATTCTTCGGACACATAGTTAATCTTTACAGTACTAGTCCTTGGTTTACTAGTAGTTACTGAATTTATGTTGACCTCATCGAGATACAATAATTCGCTTACATTTTGCGATGCTGCTGCGGACAAACACTTCCATGCGAAGTGGCCCTTCTTGCTGCATTTGTGGCACTTTGCGTCTTTCGCAGGACACTTATCTCGGGCATGTGCGTTTCTGCCACACCGACCACATTGTGACTTCGCTTTGTCATTATGTTTTCGCGTTGGCCTAGCGCTTTGATCAACTCGCTTATATCTAGGCTTACTATGTGCTGGCTTATAAACCGCATCTACCACTTGGGGAGCTTGTCTAACTACAGATTGTTGCTTCTTTATTGCTTCTGTTTCTCGTGCTAGTTTAACTGCTTTTTCGAGCGTTAATTTCGGGTCAAGCTGCATTTTCTCCGCTAGCTTTGTGTCTAACAACCCTACCACTATTCTGTCTCTCACCATCTCGTTGTGCAAAGCACCAAACTCACAGTACTCTGCCAGCTTATACAATGAGTTGATAAACTTATCTACAGGCTCAGATTCATTTTGCTTACGCAAAACTTGGCCCTCTCGTATATATCGTATTACGTCTAACGATAAAATAATCATTGCAGTGTTTCTCTACTTCGACGTACGAATTTAGCTGCTCATCTGTTAATCTTAGCGAGGTTAGTATGTCCTCTGCTTGTTCACCCATAGCATAAACTAGAGTATTTATCTGGGTCTCATCGCTTTTCCGATCGAGTCCCGATGCCTTCCTAAACCTTTGAAATCGCTGCAGCCACTTAGGCCACGACTCGGTCTTATTAAAAGTGAATTGTTCAGGAGGACTGACCTGGTAAACTGCTTGCGCACCAGGCATTTCCGTTGCTAAGGCTACTGCCTGTTGCGCGTTGTTGTTCACTTGGGCCTGCTCTTCGTTACTCATTTTTGTTGCTTTTAATTTTCGGTTGAATTTGCAAACTATAATCCAGGTTTACTCTGACACCATGTTCAGCTGTTTAGGCGTCGTTCCCCAGACGCTACCTGGTGACCATAAGTGAGTTATACCACAGAATGCATTTTGTGTCGCCGATAGCAACGGAGTAGTATCACATGGTATCGTGACGTAACACTGTAATACTCTATGACCTATTCACAATCTAAATAGTGACAACATAATCATTTTTAAGCTTTTGAGGAAGTTGAGTGGTTTTTCTCCGCTGCTTCTGTTTCAGTGACTCACCACGTCAAACTCATCTTCATTCTAGGTTTCACAAAAGTCATCTTTATTCTTTGGAAATCATCCTGATACAGCAGGTGCTGATTTAGACATTCACACTGTTTGCCATGGCAGAGATTATAGAACAAGAAATGTATATTTTTAATACACAAAGAAACGTCAGAAACAATACAGAAAGATTATTGGTTGTCTAGACAAATATATCAGAGGTATTATCTAAGGGGTGTAATTGGGACTTATAATAATAATAATAATTGTCAACTTACATCTAGTGCAGTGAAAACATTAATATCATATTAGATGACACGTGTCTTGTTAAAGTAGATAAAACTTAATTTCTTGGTGTTTTAATTGATGAAAATCTTACATGGAAACCCCATTTTGATGCAGTATCTAAGACTGTCAAAAAAAGTAGGTATTTAAATGAGCTCAAACTGTTTTTACCTAAGTATATATTATGCTCTCTTTGTTGCACTCTCATTTTGCCATATTTAAATTATGGTATTCTTGCATGGGGAAGTAAATATAAGACATACCTTGAAAAAATGTTCAAATTACAGAAATGTGGTGTAAGAAATCTATATCAAATGCCCACTTTTTAAGTCATACAAAACCATTATTTACTGATCTGGATTTTCTCACCATTTATGATATTTTTAAATTTGAATTGTGTGTTTATGTACAAACACTCAATGAATATGCTTCCAAATGCTTTCCATAACTATTTTCATACAAGAAGTGATATACATAACCATCTTACAAGGAACTATAATAACTATGTCCAAAAGAAAAACAAGTTTTGCATCTAAAGGTGTAAGATTATTTGATCATAAACTATGGAATGATTTACCTCCTAATATAAAATGTGCCAAAAGTGTTTGTACATCAATAATTCAAACTTTCATGGAAATACAGAATTAGGTGGCATAAAATTATTATATTCAATTTGTTAATAAAAAAGGTAAGGGGGAATTGTAACATAACAGTTTAATCCATGAGAAAGTAAGAATTTTTTAACCGTGAGACACAATACACAATAATACAGGAGTACGAAAAGCTTTTTTTATGAATATATTTATTAAGTATAAAACTGAAAAATAAAAAAAAGGTAACGCAACGTAATGGTTCAACCCATGAGAATGTAAACCTTTGGAACCATGAGACTAAACACACAGTAACACAGGAGCAAGGAAAACATTATTTATTAAGCAAGAAAATAGAAAATCTTACAAAAACTCAACAGTTAATTACATTAATCGTTATTAAATATGTCAAAAGGGGCTACAGTGACAGGCCTTTTGACCTTTATGTAATCGCTTGGCCATCTTCCTGTTACTTGTGTGTTTTTATTTTTTCCGATTTATTGTAAATGTTTTGTAAATGTCTTGATTGGCCAATAAATTTGACCTATGATTAATGTAAAATACCTCTATGTGCTTTACGGCAGGGAGTTTCACCTAATAAACAAATAAATGAATATCAACAATACATATAAATATACTATTACAATGTTAAGTTATGGATAATTTGAAAATACAGTAATTTCATTTGATAGGTACCTAATTGTTAAATATTTATTTTCTTGTCCCTATTGCCTTACCTTTTTTCTTATTTTACATGTCTTTTCTTCCTCGTTCCTTTCTTACCACCTGTCTCACTTTTCCTTTAATTTCCCTGTAATTTCTTTCTTTATTGTTTGTTTGTTTGTATTTATTTATTTATTGCTCTTTCCGTACAAAAATCAAATAACCAACCAGATACAAAGGAAAAAAAAAAACATCACCGTTACATAATACATTATAATCAAGTACATCAAAGAAAAAAGGCGAGGCAAGAAAGGAAAAAAAAAACATCAAAACTTTCATAAAATCAGAAACAACAGACGATTACAGGGACAAGCAGACAACACATAACATACAAAAGTAATGGAAAACCAAATAAAAAAAAAACAGATAAAACATCAAAAGGACACCAAGAAAAAGCAAAAGGGAAGGAGAGCAAAGGATAACCCTCTAAACCCGAAAGTTTGTTTCCTGAGGTCCCATTGAAACTAAAGAAAAAATTTAAAAAAAGAAAGAGTTCAGAGCAGACAGGAAAAGAGCAACCCGAGAAAGCCAAACACAAATTAAAAAAAAAAAAAAAAAAAACTTAAAAAAGCTTAACTTACTTACACAAATTCATTTTGGTTTTTTAAAGTTTAATTTAATTTTATTTATTTATTTTATTTAAATAGTTTTTGACATGCCTTTTAAAGGTAGACCAAACATCCAGAGCTTTAATATCAGTTGGCATGCTGTTCCAGAGAGTAATACTATTATGAAAAAAAGAAGAGGATATATGGACTGAATTTTTAAGGGAAGCTGAAAATCGAAACTACTTCCTCTAGTATTATATTGACGTCTATTCGAAACTTTGAAAAAGTCCTCAAGCATATATGACGGAGATTTTCCATGTACAATATTAAAAATATGACTCTATTTTCAATGGTAAGAAATCCAGCAAAATTAAATTCAGAGGATGTGAGGTGATACCGTGATCCTAGTCCCAAAACGAATTTCAAAACTTTATTTTGGGCTCCTTGGAGTCATTGAATAGAAATTTAATTTTTTTAGAAATACCATAGAACCATGAACAATAGTCAATCGAACTTAAAACCAGAGATGATGCAAGTAATTTCTTTGTTTTGAAACGATTCAAAACGATTTGCAGTTCTATACAGAAATTTCAGCCTAGAATTAACCCGTTTAAGGATGTTGGAACATATGGCATCTAACTCAAGACCCAAATAGACAACAGATGATTTGGCAGTAATCAGTTCTTTGAAAATTTCAATACTAATATTTTTAACACATATGGAATTTGATTTTGAACAAAAAACAGTGAATTCCGATTTACCCATGTGCAGTGACAGTTTGTTGTGTATCAGGCATTTGTGGCAATTTTTGACATTACGTCCAAGTTCAGTCTTAACAACATCAATGTCTGTGTGACACGAACATGGCACTGTCTTACGCATACTGCAATAAATTACAGTCTACTGATGCAGGCATGTCGTTCATGTAACACAGGAAGAGCAAAGGCCCTAATAGGCTTCCCTGGGGTACCCCGCATTTTACTATATTGGGCTTGGACATAACATTATTAATACACACAACTTATTCTCGGTTACTTAAATAAGACTCAAACCATTTTACGGATTTTATACCTAGCTTTGACAATTTATGACATAACACAGTGTGGTCGACGCAGTCGAACGCCTTCTGGATGTCGAGCAAGATCATACCAACAAATTTGAACATTTTTAGGCTTTTTCTTATAATATAGTCTTAAAGATAAATATGACAGGTTTCGGTTGAATGTAACCCTCGAAACCCAGACTGGAACTTATAAATATAGTCATTTTCAGTAAGATAATTGTACAGTTGGGAATAGACTGCTCACTCCAGTGAGGCTACCGGAATAATGCTAATTGGACGGTAATTTTATGCTAATAGGCGGCTATTTTTCTTAAAGATTGGCCTAATCTTTGTCTTTTTCATTTCATTTGGAATGGACTCGGTGGTGATTGACACATATTTATTATATATTTTAGGTGTTTACTAATAACGGATCTCCCATCCCTCAAGAAGTGAGCAGCTATCCCATCGAGACCACAACTCTTATTCACATTAAGTTTATTAAGTTCATTGTAAACAAATTCTTCAGTAATCTCCTGCAAAACAAAACTATCATTATCAATATTATTGTATAGTTCAGAATATTTAGCAAAATTGTCACCATCTCCCTGAGATTGTTTCATAAGTTTTTCAACCAGTTTTTCCGCAACTGAAGTAAAGTAATTATTCATATGATTTGCAAGTTCTTTTTCATCGAAACATTTTTGACCGTTTCTATTCAAGACAATTTTACCAAGTGATTTAGCCTTCTTTCCATATCCATAGTTTTTCAAAATTTCCCATAGCCGTTTAGAATTGCTTTTGTTTTCCTCAATAATAAAATAGTTACTTTTAGCAGTTTTAATATCCCTATGAATTTTGTTCCTTGTACTTCTATATGTTTTTACAATTTCATTTAATTCTTCAGGAGTTTTTGCCTTACTGTTCCTAATTTTATCTCCAAGCTTATCTTGTAGTGCTATGTCTTCCAATATTTCGTTTGTAATCCACGGTTCAGATTACACTTTGATTCTGACGTCTCTCTGCAGTGTAATTTTGTCAAGAACATCGGTAAATGTTTTAACAAAGCTGTTCCAGGCATCGTCCATGGTTTTGCTATCATATGCCATGCCATGTGGCATGCCATGGCATTAGTTCATTATATTTGATCATTGGTGATCCGCTAACGTTAGCGGATCACCTATTGTTATTGTCAGGATCATCATCTTTTTTTTATTCTTCTTTCTTTCTCCCCTTTTCTGTTCGCACAATATCTCAAAAACTGCCACGACTTACCGCACAATCATTGTCAACGGACATTTGGCTTGGTCTGGAATAGTCATGGTAAGCTTTTCAACGCGCTCAGTCATGCGTGACGTCATCTACGCGCAATTTTGCGTTTTTACATTATCGATCATATCAGCCTAACCAATTGCCATGGATCACCGAATTCGTCCTCAGTGACGAGTTCAAATCTAGTTCTTTTAATTGTTTTACTGTATTTTAATGCGAGAACTGAATTTCTGACTTGGAGCAATAAAGTGTATCTTATCTTATCTTATTTGCAAATATATCTTTGTCCTATTTCTTTAATTGTCTTATCCTCACAGTGTTATGGCAATTTTTTAGTTTTTCTTATAATGATCGCTGAAGCTGGTGTGTATTATACCACTTTGAGATACATTATCTTTGAAATTTGTAAAGATATGATCAATAGATGACTGTGATTTTGAACACACTCTAGTAGGTGAGGTAATTATTTGCTTGTATCCATTTTGATGGAGCATTTTTTCATATTTTACATATTCAGGTTTTCTTTTAATACAGCACAAATTTGTGTCTCCAGAATATAGGTTTCAAGATCCGATGGTAACATACAAAGAGTTTCATCTAAGCTTTCTATAAAGTTATTGTCATCGGGACGTCTATAGCATGCTCCAACTAATGGTTTTGAGCGTGGCAATAATAGTTTGATCCAGGTTATTTCCATGTCGCTATGTTCAAAATCAGGTCTGTGATTGAAAGTAAACGCCTCATTTATAAACATGCATACACCTCCTCGACGATTCCCTGTTGTTATTCTATCTTTTCGAATCACAGAGTAGCGTGGGATTTGTATCTCATCGTTTGTTATCTTACCATTTCTTCTCTCCCCTAACTTTACGTTTTTTCATTTTTCTACTTTCTTTCATTTTTTCCTTTCTTTTCTTTTCCAATAGATTTTCATTTTCTTACCTTTTATTTTCCTTTTCTTTGCACGTTTCTTATTTTTTCCTTTCCCTTTCTTACCATTTCCTTTTTTTGTTTTCCTTCTATATCTTTCGATTTCTTGCCTTTCAAAAGTGATTTATATTTTTCTCCATTTTGTGCATGAAAGTTGTCTAGATTTGGTGTCTGATGTAAGGTATCGCCATTCCAGGCCTAAATTCATTACAAAATATTGATTATAGGTTATTTTTATTCAGTCTGAATACCCTTTGAAAAACAAATAATGAGACGGGCTTAATTGCAAGCATAATGATTTAATATGTTAATTTTTGTGACAGGAGAAGAAAACAAACTAAAAAAAAAAAAAAACTCCTATACAATTTAACAGTGTTTTATCTGCATTTGCTATTTCTGTAATTTTTAATAGTACGTTGACACATGCAGTCCAAAAAAATTATTTTACTCTACCTCAGTTTTATTTACGAATCTTTATAAATTTAATCATATTAATTAACATAATTAGATTAATTTTTTTTATAGTTCAGTTTCCTTACATCACCATATTAAAGTTGGCTATATTCATTCAGGCCTATCAAAAGATTTTATGGACTACATTGGAAAATAAAAACATTGAAGAATGTTTGCTCTTAAAACTTAATATTGTTTTTATTACATTTTCAGAATCGATTAAATAAGACCTCAAATTATCAAAAAGGTCTTAGTGCCCTTGATCCCAACAGGGTCTCTGCCCCTAGTTGAACCCCGCTTGGGCCCTATGCGGCTCTCAGTAATTTTTGCCCAGTTTCTACAAAGTTGCACTCGCTCAATAAAAATTCTGCGCACAGGCCTGAATTTTACAGCCTATTTGAAGTTTAGAAATTATACCCTCAGAAAGAAAGATTTTTCCTTATTAACAACACTTTTATTAAGGTATTGTCAACTCTTTGTTTTGTAGACATTAAATGGCAGACTCTAGAGATGTAGATCTGTTGCCTAGCATCCGTCAGCTAATCACCAAGATTGAGCCTGCTATACAGTCAGCTGACTCACTTGAAGCTGCAGAAGATACAATTCTTCATCTTGAAGCTACTGACGAGAATTTCCATCGGTAATATTTTCAAAATTTACAAAAAATGGCTTAAATTTTTATCTGAATATAATTAAACATGATCCAGTTAATATGTTGTTAAAAAGTTTTTTTAATTGTAAAAATAGGTATGAATACGTGAAGTATATCCGTCAGCATATGGATAAAGTCCTGGGCTCATTAATTGAGGAACAAATGGAGAAGCATACCCACAAAATGCATGCGAAAGGCTCTGAAGAAGATCTGGTTCGGGCCGTTACCCAACATGTGGTAAATGATCAAACGTAAGTTATATGTTACACCTTTCTGTAAACTTGGTAAAGCTTGCAGTCATGTGACCTTTGTGATGTCAAAAGAGGACAGTTATACACGCAACACTCACATGTATCCTAAACCATCACTTTCAGCTGCAAACGAGTTCCACCTTGATGTATTTTTAAAACATCCAGAAAATTAGGTTTGTTTTGTTTATCTAAATAATTGAAGTATACAGTATCCTTACTTTACATATTTTGATAAACTTAAAATTATGCTAGTTTCTTGTATGTTATCCCATGGAGGTATTATTGAGAAGGAGATCACTCGGCAACAGATCCCTTTGACGCGACAAACCTATGTGTTCCCCGCTTTTGGATCACGTGCGGGCGTATTACCCTATAATTCACATTTTTTCGTTAGCAACAACTTGGCAACGACATTCATTTATACGCTTCCAGATGAGCAGTTGTGCAATAAAACGTTTGATTTTAACCCATTAAATATCTTTATAATGAACAATGTTAGATTTTTTTGGGCTTTTGGTATGTTATTATTTGTATATTTCAGGAACGGATTCCATAAAATATTTATGTTAAAATTACTTCTGTGTTCATTATAATTTTGTCTAAAGATTTACTGGTTCGACTATAAAGCTAAGTCAGCGTAAAACTGAAAAATACTCAGATTTTGGATTCATTTTTCGAATCGTTAACCCTAAAATGACTTAGTTTATTATAATCCTTAATCATTTATTAATTAATATCTGTTAAAATTAGAATTGGCGAATTTTGGCCAATTTATGAAAATTGAAGTTGAAATATACTATACTTTTATAGGTCATGTAAATGTTCCATTAAATTCGAAACTTTTCTTGGTGGAAAGTATTAATATGTTTGATATTTTATGAGAGATAAATGTATCAGCTTCAAAATAGAAAAGATTGCGCAGCCATAGTGATTGACAGTATGTAGTGCGCATTGAGAAAAGAAGGTGCTCTCCATTTTGTCATGTTCAATTTTTTGGTCAACTATGCCTGCTGAAAATTTGATGGCGGGGAACACATGGGACTTCAAAGTCATCGCGCAAACGTTCTTTACGCGCTGCGGCAACTTTGATCTTGGTTCATTTGCATAGCGCTGTGTGCACGTAGATTTGCCGAGTGATCTCCTTCTCAATAATACCTCCATGGTTATCCCTAAGCTTCCATTGGCAAATTGACATAAATAAAAAAATATTTGCTTTCCCACTAGACTAAAAACATACAGTACAAATGTGTTCATCGCGGTCGAACATATAAATAGAACATTGAGATTCGTAATAACAAACATCAAAATAGTTGTTGTTTCAAACGGAAAATGGATATTAATTAGCCTGGAAAAGGCGAGGGGAATGCCCAATTGAACATGAAAGAGAATATTTGTGATAGTTTTTTACGACATGACTCTAAAACCTTTCCAGTTATTATATCCGGACCAAACACTTTGTTTGGTTTAATATATACTCTTTCGACGTCTAATTCAAACTGTTTCGAAATGATTATTAAAATATACATTTAAATTGTTAACGAAGTCAATTGAATTATGCACTAGCGGGGACTTAGCCGGTGGATGCAATTTCCAAAACGGTTACATGCATTTGAAAGTCAATGCGGGGCATCGTTTTACCGTACATTCCCCGCCACTTACTGCCATAGCCCCCGGTAAAATTCCCTGCTAATAAATGATTGGATGTTAAGACCTACTTGAGGGACTTGCCTAGGTCTGAATCGGAGAAGCACGTCTTGGCTCATGTACTGGTGGATTTTTTTTACGCAAACTAGTTCAAATTCACGGTTTACACTAATTTTCACGCAACACACTCACAGGCGCCACCACCTCGGTCCTCAGCGTTGAGTGGTTGGAGGTTCAAGTTTTATTATGTAATGTATGAATGTGTAGGCTAGGTAGGACCACACCCGGTTTGACAGCACTAGGCCTACACCCCGAACCCACGGCTACTCTAACGTGTAAAATTTCCGGCTTTTCCGAAGCCTGTTACATCTACAGGTAAATTTTAGGTACGTCCCGGCACTACGGAGGCACAACTATGTGTACATCCCCAGCTCAGTCCTGGCTATGGCCCGAGTCCGGGGGTGGGGGGTTGGGGTGGATGCCCAGACTACAGTTGACAAGTGCATTAATACCAGGTAATATATTCACATGACTTTATTGGTGACGTTAGCGGATCACCTCTTGTTATTGTCAGGATCATCATCTTCAACTTTTTGGTGATCCGCATCTAGTGCTGATCACCTCTTGTTATTGTCAGAGATCTTTTTTTTTTATTCTACATTCTGACAAATAACTGTTCGCACGATATCTCAAATTTGCCGAGAGCTACGCACAAAACGACTACAACAAACATTTGGCTTGGCCTGGAATAGTGACAATAAGCTTTGCAAGGTTACCAGTCATGTGTGACGTCATCTACGCGCATTTTTGTGTTTTTTACGCAATTGATTATATCAGCCTAACCAATTGACATTTCAAATCGTATTACGTGAGCATTAACTTAGAGTGAAGGTTGATTGTAATGTACACTCATTTTGTGCGTGCGCTTCATAACGCGTGCGTCAAAATTTTAAAATGGTCTAAATAAATTTTTGACTAAATTAGAGCACGTTTTAAGCCATTTTGAGCATTTCAACATTTTTAAAAATTTCGGCACCGCGTGCGCATTTTTACGCGCGCGTCACGTACAGAAGTTAAAAATATTGTTTTTTAAAATGTTTTAGGTCCCTGACACTGTATTCACAAATTTCCAATCTTTTTTGGTCATTTAGGGTTAATAGCAATGCCGTACGCGCGCATAGAACATAAAAGCACATGTGCGCATTTTTTTTCGACATATAGCAAAAATAGGCCAAAAATATGCCTATTTTCAATCAATTATAGCTCCTTAGAATGAAAGGTGACCCCCAATTTTTATTACATATTCTGAAAGCACATGAGTTGTACATATGATTTTATAGGTCATAATGGCTGATCGGACATTATGACGTCATCATATTGCCATCTGAATTCAACAAACTGAATATTATCGATGACGTCATTTAAAAAAAATGCGCATTTGAGCGTATCTCGCTTATTCTTGATCGATTGTCTTCCAACTTTGAGTATGTTATAGCTAAGGCAATTCTCTTTAATATACATACACTTCTTCACATTTTGATGACATCATCATGGTCAAAATATAGGGTTTTGCTTACCCCCTCATCTTTCTTTCGTCAAACCTTTGATGACCCCATAATCACCTTAATCATTCGTGATTTCTGAATCATATTTAGTGGGCATAAACTTCATGTCATGGTTAAATGTTATGTACATTATATTTTTGTGCGCGCGTAATAACGCAAGTGTTCGCGTGCGTCAAAATTAAAATATGCCTTATATCAGGTCTTTATTTAATCAGTTATATAGCTCCTTAGGATGAAAGGTGACCCCCAATTTTTATTACATATTCTGAAAGCACATGAGCTGTAGACATTGTGACGTCATCATATTGGCATCTGAATTCAAAGAAAGTGATTTATAGCTATGACGTCATTTTTGAAAATACGCATTTGAGCGTATCTCGCTTATCCTTCATCGATCGTCTTCTAACTTTGAGTATGTTATAGCTGAGACAATTCTCTTTCATATATTTGAATTCTTTTTAAATTTTGATGACGTGATCATGGTAAAAAAAATTGTTTTTTCTGACCCCCTCATTTCTCTTTCTTCAAAACGTTGATGAGCCCATATAATCTTAACCATTCGTCATTTCTAAATCATATTAGGTGAGCATAAGCTTCAGGTCAAGGTTGAATGTTATGTACCTTAATTTTCCGTTCGCGGTTTTTATCGTGCACGTACGCGTGCGTCAACATTTATATATGCATAAAACCATGAATATTTTTAATAAGTTATAGCTCCTTAGGATGAAAGGTGACCCCCAATTTTTATTAAATAATCTGAAAGCACATGAGTTGTAGATATGAATTTTTACTTCATAATGGCTGATTGGACATTGTGACGTCATCATATTGACATTTGAATTAGGAAAAAATTGAATTTTTATAAATGACGTTATTACTTTTTATACTCATTTGAACGTACTCGCTTATCTTGATTGATTGTCTCCCACCTGTGAGTATGTTATAGCTAAATCAATTCTCTTTCGAACGTGTTACTTTATTTTTTATTTTGATGACGTCATCATGGTCAAAAAGAATGCTTTCTTTAGAGCGTTCTCATCTTTCTTTCTTAAAAGATGTAAACACATTGAAAATTGAGGGCGGCAGACTGTTTTTCGACACTATCAGACCGATAGTTCGTATACTGTAAAGGCAAAATTCGTGTGGCATTTCCAACCAACTTGACAAGGTTTAAATTCATGTGCCATTACAGTCGTCAGGCACGTCGTTTAAGGTATTTGTACTTGTGCGTTAAAATTTTAAAATTGTTAATATCACTTTTCAGATAATTTAAAGCACGTTTCAGGTCATTTTGAATATTCCAAAACTTTCCAAAATTTACGCGCCGTATGTCCATTTCCACGCCCACAGCACGTACTGAAGCTGGAAATTACGTTTCGGTTACATGTGTTGGGTTTGTGACACTGTATTAATACTACCGTGCGCACGGACGTAAGGACATATGTGTACACATTCGTAAGTCCTTAAAATGCTCAAAATTACTCTTTTCCTTTAAAATTTCTTTTAAAACGCTCAAAATTACTCTTTAAATAGAGCATGTTTTAGCATATAATACTTTTTAATCAGAAACGCGCGTGCTTAGTTAGGGTCAAAGTACTGCGGATCACCAAACTCGTCCTCAGTGACGAGTTCAAATCGAGTTACATTTTGATGACGTCATCATAGTCAAAAAAATAGTTTTTTCTGACCCCCACATCTTTCTTTCATCTAAAAGTTGATGAGCCCATATCATCTTAACCATTCGTCATTTCTGAATCATATTAAGTGAGCATAATCTTCAGGTCAAGGTTGAATGTCAGGTACCTTAATTTTTCGTTCGCGCGACTTAACGTGCGCGTACGCGTGCGTCAACTTTTATATATGCATATAACCATGAATATTTTTAATCAGTTATAGCTCCATAGGATGAAAGGTGACCCCCAATTTTTATTACATATTCTGAAAGAACATGAGTTGTAGATACGATTTTATAGATCATATTGGCTGATCGGACATTGTGACGTCATCATATTGCCATTTGAATTAAGGAATAATTGAATTTTTATTTATGACGTTATTGCTTTTTATACTCGTTTGAATGTACTCGCTTATCTTGATTGATTGTCTCCCACCTGTGAGTATGTTATAGCTAAATCAATTCTCTTTCGGACGTGCCCCTTTATTTTTTATTTTGATGACGTCATCATGGTCAAAAAAAAAGCTTTTTTTGGAGCCTTCTCATCTTTCATTCTTAAAAGATGTAAACACATTGAAAATAGAGGGCGGCAGACAGTATTTCGACACTATCAGACCGATAGTTCGTATACTGTAAAGGCAAAATTCGTGTGGCATTACCAACCAACAGGGGGTTTTAAATTAAACTTGACAAGGTTTAAATTCATGTGC